TTGTTCTTTGGTCCATCCACAGAATGTCTTTTGAAGGCCTCTGTCCCAACAGACATCCTGGTCTTTCACACTCTCTTCCATGTTCAAGTAATTATCTTTTTTTAGCTTCAGTTTTGTGTCTAAGGAAGTGTGTAGACCGCCTTGTGGGACCTGCTCAGCAGCTGTGCACGGTGGTGGCTCTCAAGCTCTTGTTAAGCCTAATAAAATAGGCTTGGGTAGTGTAGGTTCAAGTGCTGCCTCTGGTTCAACAGGGTTGTGCCTCTAGAGCAGATCTCTGAAATGTGAAAAGCTCTTTGCTGTAGGTCATAACTGAGCTGTCTCTAAAACTCTTGCATTTGTGTATTTGGAGATTACTTTTTAAATGTTCAAGTTGTTCTGTTTCTGCTTTTCTGGTGCCCTTTCCTGTGGTGCGATTGTGAACATGCAATGAATGCATTAAAAATCTACAAGGTTAATAGGAATGTGCTTTTGTTTGACTAAACAACAAATCCAAATATTTTGCTTTTTGCAGAGGAAATAATCTCAATAGGGAATTTGAAAATAATCTGTCAGTGACAAAACAAATACAGCTTCACTAGGCTCTATGCAACATATCAACTCTCTGGAGGAGAAAAGACACCAGCACACGTGTAACCCATCCRTGTTCAGTACCAGGCCATGTTGCACTTGAGCCCTATCCATCTAAGCATGGGCTGCGTCTGAAAGTGGGGGCTCGTGCTCTGTGTGTCCTTGCAGCAGATGTGTCTTACTTCTGAGAGCTGTTGTGTGTTCATGGGTTTGATGGACTCCCATCGCCGAATCTACTGTGGTGCTTTTAAAAACAAAATACTAACAAAAACCCTMTCCTTCATCTCTGAAGGTGATGTGAAAAGCCCCAAAAAAACCCCCCAAAACCTCACCTTGATCTAGGGAGATGTCTATTGGGATATCAAATACTGTCCTTAGATTAAGCAACAGTTTGCCATCTGTTTGTCCCAGAATTCAGATAAAAGTGTCTGAGTTGCTCRTGAGAGAAGCCGGCTCAAGCCTTTGAACTGGTGCTAAGCAGCAGACACCTGTAAGTTCATGTAAAGTTTAAAAGCAATCAGGCTGGCAAGACTGAAATCCTCCCCTATGTTTCATTCGACATTGCACTTGTGGTTTTGAGGAAAAAGGAAGTTCCTTGCGTCTTGTTATGGTTATGCTATTGCAGTGAACAAAAAAAGTATTGATTCTTATTGTGAGATATAGGAAGTTTGGGAAGGAAGAAATATTCCTGTTAGTTTTAAACTTTGTTTGCATGGTGCAAGTCATTTGTTCTATGAGTATTATATTCCACTAATATGTCTCAACATATTTTTTGACAAAATAACTGCCTACAAATACACACTTGTAATATTTTTTATTAGCTTAATGCTTTAAAATGCAGATCTGGAAAAACGGGCATTTGTGAAGCTGATRAATTTTCCATCTCTGTTTTTCCTTAATAGAATAGGTAGTTGATAGCTGGTCTTAAGATTTATCATTGCCTGCATCTACTTTAAAGAAGTTTTCTTTAGAGTTCTGCACTGAATATTTAAATACTGAGAATTAATTCTTGTTCCTGTAGAGTAAAACTTGTAATTCATCCTGCTGAGGACTTGTTCTTGCTAGCAGTTCTTTCTGTGACCTGCACATGTCACCTTCATTGTTGGTTCGTATTTTCTTTCTTGATGACTAGCAATTTTTCTCCTTTTTCATTTTAATTGCTGTAATAGAGTTTCATGTAGTTTTCCTTAGGCCTGGTTTCTGCTTGATGTTCACGGCGATAGCAAAGCGTGAGCTGCCTGCTCTCAGTCAGATGGTCTTTGAGGAGCAAATACTCCTCTAGCTTTGGCAGACTTAGTGGAAGCAAAATGCTCTACCTGTGGTGGAAAGGCTTCTTGCTATGGAAAATATACGTCACTGCATTATTAGATTTTTCTTATTAAGTAATCAGTGATTCTTGTATCTTGCTGCTGGTTTGAGAAGAGTTGGTCTATATTAGCCTAACCCTTCAGTTAGGGAGTTCCTGGTCATTCTTGTCATAATAAGAAGGGGTTGCATCCTGAGGAGTGGAGTGTGGTTTAGTGCTATGCTTCCCAGCTCTTTTTGGTGATGCTTGTGCCAGCTGTGCCCTMCTTTGCACTCTGGGCCCTGCTGATGGCGCTTCCCTGGCCACCTTGCCTCCCTGTGCCTGTCACAGGGCATCACTGGGGGAGTGTGGGGCAATTAGGCTGATTTTTTTGACCTGATTTTTTTCAGTTTGCACATATGCCACCACTAAAGCAGCCTAGCCCAGGTAATAACCTAAAAACATATAGGGGTGGAAAGGRCTAGGGTGGGAGGGATGCCCTGTTCCTAAAGGAGATAGGAGTTGGGTTGGGTGGATTCTCTCCCTTTCCTCAGTGCCCTTTCTCTTGGCTTGTCTGAGATGGATCTAAATTTAGAAAACACATCAAAACACAGAGCTTGTGCTGGAGCCCACAGGCATTTACAGATGTCTGTCTGAAGAGGCTTGGAAGCCTTGGTATTGTTTCTGCAGCCAGGGGAGGTTGCGGCTGCTCATGTTGCAGCCTGGAAGGCTGCCACTTTCCTTCCTTTTGCTGAGATTCCTCTGCTGCATAGAGCATAGAAGACCAAACRGACACTATAATCAGTGGTATAAAGTAACTGCAAGATGAGAGTTTCAGGTTCAAACCCTGCCATCTTTGTACCCACAGGAGCGGTCACCTGCAAATATCCCAGTCACCAAGTGCCCCTGGTCCTCCCAGGCCTTGCTACTGGCTGGCAGCAGTTCCTTCTTGACCTCTACAAGTGAGGAGTTAATGGAAGCAAAGATGAAAGGGAAAAGGAGATGGATGCGTTTGCTTTTCCTGTCTCTGTCTCCTGGAGTAGTTTATATACTGGACTTCCCGTGCTGCRGGATTAGCCCTCAGGCTCACACCCTCCCTGCCCTGACTCAGACTCACCCCCAGGGTTTGCCTGTGCTCCTCTGAATTTACTTTCCAAGCTCCCAATCTTCACTGTGCCCTCAAAGAAGTAACTTAAAGTAACCCCAAGCTTCCCTAATCCATATCTGTCCAAATTCTCTGTAATTTGGCAGCTAATCACTTGGGTTTTTACATGCAAGCTTCCCTTTCCAAGCATGATTTGATTTCTGAAGAAAGCTGAAGAAAACTCCTAGCAGTAAGGAAGAGAAACATTCTTTGCCTAGGTGTGTCTTCCTCAGTGATGAGCAATGCACTATTTTGGTCCCCACTGCCTAATGCCTCGGAGACAGAGCTGCTTTAGCTGCTCTAAACAGACGCCTCGATGGGACACCCACCCCGACCCTGCTTGGGCAGCAGCCCTGCACCCTGGGGCAGTCACCTACCTTGTGGCTTCAGCACCAGCTCCCAGCAGGCTCTTTTGACCCGTTTCTTCCAGCAGCTCTTTGCGTGTTACTTTTTTGGAAAGAATTGGGAGAAATTGAATTAAATACTATTTGAAAAGCTGCCTAGCTTCTATGATCAGAGAACAGCTGGTTCTCATTTGATTTGTCTGGGGGAATATTGTTATCAGATGCATTTAAWGCAAGCGTTGCCCTTCTCTGAATCAAAACTTGCTATTGCCACTGCTGCACACCTGATACCAGGGTGCAGCCCAATATCCAGCTGAGGACTGAGGATTCCAGAGGGGGTTCCTGCCTTATCCATTGCCCCCGTCTTTGAAATTAGCATTAGCAGGATTTCCCAGTAGAAGGCGGGGGTAATCTGGTAGTTAATTCTTGCTGTTGTGTGATTTTAAAACTAAGCTGTCCTTTGTYGTTTGAGGTTCTCGCAGGCTTTCTTGCAGTGCAGTATCTCTAAAACCCTTAAGCTTTAAAGGCAAATAAACCTTTTTGAGATCTGACCTTGAAATGTGAAAACTTGTGCAACTTTTAACCACCTGCTTTTTCTGCATCTGAGAGGTCCTTTTTWATTGAGGGGAAATACTGTCCTTTTTAATTAAAATTAAATTTTTTTTAAGGGGAAACTTTTGTTTTTACTATTGTTTTAAAGAGTCTGTGTAAAGTATCTTAAAGGTACATTTGGCCATTTTGAATCTGCTGTTTAAAATATTGGTTTAACTTCTGGTTTTGTTAAAAGTAAGGATAATATTCTAGGTGTTTTCCTTTGAAAGGGAAGATTTTGGCTGGCAAGTTAGAGGAAAAAAAAGGAAAAATCTGTGTGGGTTATGAAAGGAAATTGTTTTGGACATCAGATTCTTTTTCCTGCAAAATCTTGCTGTTGAAAAGAAAATTCTAATACCGTGTTGTGAATCTAAAAGCAAGATAAGCATATAAAGGGATATCTTTTGTGTTGTATGAAGAAAATGCAGTATAATATAGTGATATTATAAACACAYGTGACCATATAGCGGATAGTTATACTTGACTCTTGCAAGTTCAGTCAGGTGAGGCAGTTGCTGGTAAGGCTAAAAGTTCTGATGTAAGTGGAGCAAGAAGACTGTCACAGTGATTGCAGGGATTTTTTTCAGTATTGAATCCCTAGTGTGAAGAAGAAATTTTATATTGTGCTTTTTTTAGATGGTCAAGCTCATGTGAAGATGAAAGCATAGCTTAAAATAAGCTGACAGCCTAAGTGGCACAGAACAGGGTGGTGAATATGTGGACCAAATGTTTATRTGGAGCCCTGCAGACAGCATTCGTTGTAAAGCTTATGTGTAGTGTTTGTCTTCATGCATAAGACCATCTGCCTTGTCTCTCATAAGTCTCTTGAAGGGCTTTACAGAAAACTTTAAAATGTCACTTGATATTAGGGACTCCAGCTCACTCAAAATTTTGCAAAACTATAATTCCTTTAACTCCATTTATGAACCTGTACTCCATTTATTATACTGAATTACTTGGGAATCAATAAAAACATATGAACTTCTTGAAATTAGCAGCTTATCCTCATATTAAAAATAATCAACTTCTCTCTTTTTGTTTGTTTTTTTCCCTGTTTGTTGTTCTGCAGGTTAAAGTGAAGGGAAAAAATAAACAGATCTGGATATATTTTCAACATGAATCGTGCTTTTAGCAGGAAGAAAGGTAAGTAATTTGGCTTATACTCTATGGAAGAAGTGTTTGCACAACTCTTTTAGACTATTAAATATTAGCATTGTAAAAGAGAACACTTAAGATAAAATAATGCTTAATAGAAGAAAATAGTTGCTTCTGATTAGGTAGGAAGAGATTTTCTAAGAGATGTATAGAGAAAAGCACATCTGGAGTGATAGCTATGCAAAAAYTTCTTCAGTGTAAGGCTCTAATTGAATCTCATACTTTTTTTTTTCCCTTTCCAAAGAGATGTTTACTGAAAGCTTTTAGAACTTCTAGAGACTTAATGATTTCTGTATTATATGCCTTCACTGGGTCTTTTTTGGAGAAGCTGTTTTGGAAAGCACGCTTTAATATGCCCATGCTACCGAGTGTCTGGCACCTATAGGAATCTATTTGGAGCTCGTCACAATCTGAAATGTACCCTTTCTAGACGTGTTTCAAATCACTAAATGTTCACATGTATGCTGTTCTTTCTGTTTGCTTATTTTTGTGATCAGTTTATTATTAAATATAACATTTAGACAGAAATTGATATAGTTTTTCTACTAGCAATTTTGTTATTTTGTCCGAATGTGTCCTGAATAGCATGTTCTGTGTTAGAAATAAGTAAGTTCTTTCCTGTGATGTAAAACTCCTTTCTGCTGAAAATTTAAGTGAAACCTACTGAGCTAGAGCCTCTATTTTAGTAGCTAAGTAAATTCCATTGGAAAGACTGCAGATGTTAGTGTAGCAAGAATTCCTCCTTGCTGTGAATATTCAGGCTGGAAAGGGAGTCTATCATAGCTCATCACAACGTGCGCTGACAGCATAACTGCAGCCTTGTGTGTCTAGTGCACTTACTTCTAGCACGTTTATTCACCAAATCCAGATGTCTCCAGCTCATAAAAACTGTCTGGAATATCAGAAGACACACCGTGATCACAGAGAGTATGATCACTTTGAATTTCTTCTTGTAATCTCTTCAAATACTGTTGGAGGTTGTAGTGCAAGAAGTGGTAGAGATCAGTCCTGTTAACCTTAAGATATGTTTATACCTTGATAATCTCAGTCTCTTTCAAGCATCTTAGATATTTTAAAGCAATTGTTTTAAGAGATCTTGTCAAATGTTGTATCTTCATACTGATTTTCCTAGTTTTAAAAATACTGCTTCCTAAACTGATTTACCTGTTTGTCCTTATGTGACTGTGCATGCATTTGATGTTTAAGCGCAAACCAGAAAGCATTAACTGGTTTATTTTTAGGAAATGAAGATTCATCTCCTGGTTTAATTTGGCATTTTTTGCTAATTTTTTTGACACTAGTTTTGGAACTGGTTCATATATGTAAACAACAATGAGTTTATATTTGTTGGCCTTGTCTCTTCAGAAATGTGAAAGAAATATAGTGTTTTTTTAGAGAGACTTATTCAAATATGGTATGACTGTAATCCAAACTTTCTAGGAGTAAGAGAGTGAAACTATTTTAAATCAGTGCTAAAAATATAGGTATGTATATGAACTTTGGACTAAACCTAGCAATACGTAGTATGAAACCCCATAGACATTATTGATATTGTGGAAGTTGTAAAYCCCAGCTGAATTTGACTCATCCTTTGTTATTCCCCAACGGTCCTGCTTCATTCCAGAATAAATGTCAGCCTTATCTTACATAAAGCACAATGTTCAGTAACAAAGCTGCTCTTGAATGTAGAAATCTGAATTTTCTAATTCTTTTATTTCAATAAAAAAGGAGTTCATAAGGTTGGTAATTGCTGCCAGACTATCAACTTATGAGATTTAGATGATATTCTTTTATTAAATGGAATATGTTGAGGTAATAGCCCATCATCAATCAAAAGGATTGTGAATTCCATTTCTATACAGTGACTTTTTATCAGTCTTGTTTATGGAAATATCAAGAGATGGGTTTAACGAGCCTAATCTGACAAAGCAGAAGAGCCATGAAATATTATAGGATGTAGTTTTATAGGTATGGACTGGCTAAAAAGCGCTCTTTAAATTTATTGTTGACCTGAGTTACGTTGCAGAGATCACAGAAGGGTGAGGTTGGCGGGAACCTCTGGAGATCATGTAGTGGACGCCGTGCTCAAGCGGGGTGGCCTGGAGCAGGGTGCCCAGCACTGCAGAGCTGCCCTCAGCAGGACTGTGCGGAGCGGCAGCTGGCTGCAGTGACACTACCTGGCCTGTGGGTCCCTGCATCTTCCCTCTTGCCTCTTTTTGAGGAGCGCRGGGACCTTGGCTTTCTTCCAGTCCTCAGGCACCTCTCCTGTTCTCCATGTTCTTTCAAAGATGGTTGAGAGCAACCTAGCTGTGATGTCTGTCAGCTCCCTTGTGTCCTCTGTATCTTTCATCACCAGGACTCCTGCTGATATTCTTGGCAGCAGTATCAGTCATTATGATCTTCCACATGGTCTGTATATATTTTTGATTATAAAGTGTTTTCAAAATCCCTRATAGCTTTCTAAGGAAAAAAAAGGAAACCATGTTTAAATACTCTCTCCTTTCCCCTCCTCCCCGTGAAGGCTAGTAATTGATAACTGTGTGTTGGTTTTTAAAATGAATCTTTATAGGAACAAAATTTTAGTGGATARAAACCTAATTTTATGTACTAAATATTTCTGTACTGTTTCAGTTTTACTTATCAGTGAAACACAGTAAGTGACCAGTTTTGCAGCATGTGTATGCATGCATATATGCAAGTATCTATTTACTTATSTGTTTTACCTAGAGATATATTTAAAACAAACAAAAAACTTAGCGTGGAAAAAAAAAAAGGCAGATGTCATCCATGGAGTCTGAAAGCAGGGGGAAGAGAGCTAGAGTGAACTCTTTAGGATTTAGTGAATCATGCTTTTAGAGGAAGCATAGGGAAAAATTACAAGTATGCATTGGCAMTGTTGGTAAGATTCATATTGGGCACAAATAAGCCTGATTTTTCTTAGGAATTTTCCTGTGGTTGTGCTGCTTCTGTTTGACTCTACGTAGAATCATGTTTCCTTTGGTGAGGATAGCAGTTTGGCAATACGACCCCTGACCTGTTCTAAACCTTTTGGCATTTTTATTTATGACATTTCTTTTGCCCAATTGTTTTGTGCTGCTTATTTATCCACGTGATCTTCAGAGTGTTGCAGAAATGAGGTTATCTTTTCTCTGCTTAGAGAATATTGTGACCAAATCCATAAATCCATAAAAGTTATTTTGCTAAATATCATTTTCTGTGTGAAATTTCACATTTGCAAACTGCTTAATCACAGAGCACTAACACCTTCAGAAGAGCAGAAACTCTTCCCAAGTCTTAACTCTGAGAGTCTTAAGCTTTTTTCTTTTTCTCTACTCTATAACAATTTCTACAGCATCATGATAAATGTTTTACACTGAACTTTGCCAGTGTTATCTTTTGAGATCTACAGGCTAGTATAGAGTATATTGCTATAGAGTACTCAGGATATATACTTATTACGTGCATTATTATTGAGCAGCTTTTCTAAGATAACAGCTGAGATGATTCTTCTCGAGTTGCATGGGGCTAGGCTAAAGTTAGAAATAACTTTTGACTTCATACTAAAAAGCAATAGTTTGATAGCAATCAGTGGTGACTTGGCTTTCCTAGAACTTCTTATAAAACTATTGCTTAAATTTGGAAAAATGTATTGTGAAATATAGTCCCTTAGAATCTTAAAAGCATTGTGCTCCTGTAGGTAGGTATGGAAGCTACAGCTTAGCACTATGTAGTTGCTTGAAGTGGTTGCTGCTGCACCCTTTCCAGCTTATTTGCATTTTAAGAAAAGTTTTAGTGGGACTGAAAAATGTTTTTATTATGTTATTTTAATGTTATTGAATGAGAAAATTAAAATAAAAATGAATTTTAACTTTTTCCAGTTACTGAAAATGAACCAATTTCATATCCTAATGGGGACAAGCTTCACTTTGTCCCCATTTCCTTATACTAAAATATTTGAATAATTCTAAATGAAATGAGGGGGTTAGAAGATGATTTGTATGTACTTGCTAGTGATGATTTTGGAAAATGTTTTTGCTTAAGTTATACTACACCAATAATATCTTCAGTTTCTTCAGCTCAGGGCTTTTAGCAGAGGCACAGTGCAGCTCTTCTGGCAGCACCAAGATAAGGGGTATGGGCTGAACAGCTCAATTTTTTTTTTCCCCCCTTCAGTTTAGGAAGCTCTGTTTGTCTGTCCTTAATATATAATGTAAAGTTTGTAGTTTGGGCAATGAGCGTTACTCTTTGAGGAAATGCAAATGCTAGGTTCTTTTTTAATGTTTTTTAACTATGCAAACCCAATGTTGCTTGTATTGTTCTGTTATTTTAATGAGGAGCTATTTAAAACCATGTCCTGAATATTTTGAGGGGAGGATACAGAATAGCTAAATGTTCTGGAGAAACCCACTCTGTTCTAGGAAGATAAGGCCTCCAGTGTCTTGGCTAAGAATCAGTATGTCTCCAAGGCACATTTCATGCTTAACAAAAGGTGGGGTTTTTTATTATGCATATTTCCYTGAATAGACCTATACATTTGTGGGGTAGAATTTGACTCAATTTCAATTACTTAATCATTATAATCTGGCAGTACCTTATTAACTTGCTGTCTTTAAAACATATATTAATTCAGGCTCTGTAGTTTATTCTTGTAGAAGGTGATTGAGGCAAACACTGTAGCTGAATCATAGAAGATGATTCATGGTTAATAATGTTGAGGTATGGCATCCAAATAAAAATTCTGGTACCAAGCATGAATCCCTTTGCTCAAGGTGTCAGTCTTGGTTGTAGTGAAGAAGTCTTAGCTTATGAAAGCATTTTCTGACTAGCCAAAGTTCAGTTTGTGAGAACCTATCAAGCTGGAGCACAAGATAAGTGATTCAAGCGGGTGACAGTTTTTGCATGTCCCTATTGAAGACTTTCCTTCCTGAGCAAGGAAAGGAACATTCTTAGGCAAGAAACCTTTAACATCTGTCCGTGGTAAAGGTTTCTTGCCGAAGGAGGATAGAAAAAGCTTCAGTGCTTCAAGAAATTTGTGTTTTCACTGTAACATTTAAGGTATGCAACTCAGGTTTATATTCTCTGCACATTAGATTAAGTGTAATGGCCAGACTTAAAAATTTCATAAATGCTCTGAGAGCAGGGGTAAGTAGAACCACTTGTCACATGCATTAATGGCAAGTGTGGGGTTGCAGGAAGCTTACCTGAAGTTGCCCTTTTAGGGAGGTTTCACTACTCAGGAAAAAAAAAATAGCAATAGAAAGGTCAACAAGTAACATGGAGAGGAAGGTATCTGAGAGAGTGGGAGGAAGACTTTTCTGCCAAGTCTGTACTGCATACTTCCCTGGCAAGCATTTGAGCAGGCATTGCATGTAAGCTAAGGGAAAGCCAACCCTCTTGAGCAGGGCTGTGCCTTATCCTTTGCACTTGAATTCCCAACAGAATCCAAATAGATCCATTTTTCCTCTTTTTTCCCCCCCCACACTGATGGTAGGTTTGGCCAAAGCCCACCATGTGTTCAGGCGCTGTCCTCCTAGAACTTCTTCCATCCATAATCCTCCTACTACTTTAATGCTCTTAGAATGGTTTGAACTCAACTGAATTTTATTTCTCAAAAAAATATCTGAGTACTTAGTTGAACTTTTATGCAAGTATCGAGTGCAAAACAGTATGAGCAAAGAGCAGCTCTAAAATATCTATAGCTTTCATAAGGTGTGATAGCCCACGCCTCTTCATTTTCAGCTTTCATTATGTTAGATGAATGCATCTGTCAGTTTTTGTTTTATTTAGGCTTTAAGGATTTTTTTGGAACTCATTGCATTACTTATTTGTGAAGCCTCTAGGTCTTTGTGCTGTAATCAATAAAATAATAATGTGGATGGTGTTTTTCATTGTGTTTCAGTGTAGGGTTTCATATTTTGTTTATTGCTTCAGAATGAATAATTTAGCAAACCATGAAAACCCATTTAAATTTGACTTTAGAAGCAAGGGGTAAAACAAATAGCAAGCCACRTGTACCTCAGCTATTGAAATGAATATCTTTTTATGGGTTTTCTGTTTTCYTAGTTTTCAGATTTATTTGCAAAACTTTTTCTGAAATCTGGTATTTTCCAGCTGCTGTTGAATCAGACTCGAAGCAGTATTTCAAACAGGTGCTGAAAGGTAATGGCAAGCATCCAAAATCAGAGCTTACAATTCCACAGGAGAAACTGGTCACAAGAACTTCTSTGTAGTATCTGCGATATTTTTTGCACCCTTTTGCCATATGTGTTTCAATGACTTTTGTAAGCTGTTAAAGAAATGTCCCCCCCCGCCCCTGCCATGTCACCGCTCTTTTAACTGGTACCAGCTTCTAGGAAATGGGCTTCTAAATCAGTGCTCAACTTGAATCTGTGTCCCAGTGTCTCCTGGTCTACGCGCGCATGTTGGAAACGCTGCTTGCTGACTCAAGCTTTTAATCATTGTCTTGAGTTTTCAAAGGATCCAGGCATCTTTTTGGTACCCTGGTGACTTACTGCTATCTCTTTCCTTCGGAGCTGACAGCATCCATCCATATATCTGTATCTGTCCCAAATTATTGTACCAGCATGCATAAGAACACTGTTGTAACAGTTAGTTCCTTCCTACAATCTGATTGTTGTAGCATTATGATTTGAGGTTTGGTAGACCAGTGGATGGATTTAAAAAGTAGCTTTATTTATTATAACAAAATGAAATAAAAGAAATAGCATCTTTTTTTCTTCTTTGACCTTGTCGAGCTTGGAGATGGGAAGGAGAAGGAAATGTTTTGGAGTAGTTAATTGTATTGGTACCTGTCTAATAATTTATCTGCATAAAAATCATACAATCTTATTGGGCTGGTGCTAGTTAGCAAGTTGAATGTGGGTGGGTTTTTGTTTTTTCTTTTTTTGGAAACTCAGTATTAATTTGGAACACTTTTACTACTGAATTTTTACTACTGAAAATTACTGAGCACCCAAGTCTGCAAGACTTCTACTGAAGCTTGTGAGCAGGTGAGGTGCAAGAGAAGGGGTGTGTGGGCACTTGCTTCCCCCAGCACGATGAGGCCAGTCGCAGAGCTCAGGGTTCCCGTGTGCAGGTCGTGGCTCTGCTGGAGTGAGTGCTGGGACGGAGGAGTCCCGCCCTGTGCCACTGCTGCCTCCTCTGCATCTGGGTCTCTCGGGCAAAACCAGTGACTTGGCTGCTTGTCTGACTTAGAGGAGTGAAATGACTTGAAATATAATGCTTATATTCTGGGTTGTCAGGCTTTATTTTAATATTCCTATTTCACGTTGGCTGTCACTTTTTTTCTTCTCTATAACCTCGGCTGTACTCTATGTACTGAAACCAGACTTCAGTTTAGAATATGTTTTGGGGATATTAGTTCTCTTGGTTCCAGTATTCCAGTCACAACCCGCTGCAGTGCATAAGCGTAGTCCTGGGTACTTCTGAATGGAGAAATCGTCTTTCCTTGGTTACCAAGTGGCCCTGTCACTCKTTAATGACGGAGCTGACCATTTTGTGGTATAGGGTGAGATTTCTTTAAAGAAAGAAGAAAATCTCCCGCTAGCTTTGGAGTTTTGATCCTGTTACAATCGTGACTGTGATGACTACTTTGTGTTACGGGTTTCTTGCTGCTTGTTTATTCAGAAAAGTTACTTGTTGGTTTAGAGTCTATAGCTTTTTTTTTTTTTTGGCTCATTAAGAGCAAATGCTGCAAAGTTTAACTGGAGTGGGTTTTATTTTTGCTATGTATTAGTGAGAGAACAGTTAACCACTATATTGCAACTCCTATTAAAGGCAATATCCAAGGGTAGAATTTTGCTTTAAGCTATTGTTCCATTACTTAATTCCATCAAGTTCCAGGTTTTGGGACTTTAATTCACTCTAATAAAAACAGAAAAAGTCTCATGTTCTAAATACTACTCCCTATTAAATGTGTGGAAATATTTACAGTGCTGTGCTAGAGAATTTTTCCTGCAGTTATGTTTTAGTATTTTGGATCTTCATACATTCTTTTTCTTGTCTTCATTTGAAAGGTTTTAGAGGATTTCTGAACTTCTGATACAAATGARGTATTTCTAGTGTTTAGAATTCCTTCTTCTGTTATTCCTTTTAATTGACCAGTTAAGGGAGGAAGATCAATTTCAAAAACAGTTAACTCCTGATGTTACTGTGTAAAACACAGAGGAAAAAGCAAGATGATGGTGTAGTTTCCTGAGATGTGAAAATCATGAAAGGAAAATAAGCAAATTGATTCAGAATATATAGTAAAAGGTTATATATGGTCTAAATTTCTCCAATCTGACTTGGTTTAGCTCTGGAAGGAATAGGACTGGTTTTCTGTTCATTTTCAGTTTAATTTTTCAAAAATAATTTCCTAAATCTCTTAATTCATCCAAACAACCAAATCATTAAAAGGTGAACATGTAGTCAGTGCTTTAACCAACAGAATGTATTGAAGTGGCAGAAGCAGGAAACATCCCTGGACCAGAAAATATATTCAACTGCGATGAGCTGGAATTCTTGTGGTAAATTGATTCAGTTACTTCTCTTGACCAAATTTCACACTTTATCTAAGCTGTTCCATGTAAATGGTTGGAAAGTTGCAGAGTACAGTGTCTTTGCTTCCAGTTCCAGTAAAGACTTTAGATAATTATCTGAACAAAATGAAGATGGTTGATGCTTTTCAGATAGTTATTATGGTTATATTTAACAACTAGATAATCTATTCAGTGTTTCTTTTGTCTTTTCTGTAGACAAAACATGGATGCACACTCCTGAAGCCTTATCAAAGCATTATATTCCCTATAATGCAAAGGTAAGAAAATACGTACTTTTTTATCCTCTTACCTTTAGAAGACAGAACATTATGTCATGGTTTGGATTTCAAAATTGCAGGGACATGAATTTGCTAAATGAAGTGGTGAGGAGGGAACTTAAGTCATAGATGTTTTGCAAATGAAAGATTTCTMTTTCCTAAATGTTAGCTGCCAACTTACTCTTGTTCCATCTGAATTACCTTGTAGCTATCTACAAAGYTGAGTTCCTGGTCTGCTCGATGCTCTGTTTCTCTTTAGTGGATACCAGAGAGATGTAAATGCTGAGTGCAAAGGAAAATACAAACTAGTTCTTTATGGTATCCCAAGAGCTAACAGCAATAGCATGGACTTCTTTTGAGCAATAGCAAGGGCAGTCAATCAAGAGCTTTGTCTACTTGGTGTATTTAGATATGAAGTATTCAGAAATATTCAAAAATGGTTTTTTTGTGCAGCAAAATCAGAAGTCTTCCTCTGGTGCTTGCTCGTGTCAGATGCATTGCAATTCTACAGTGGTATTCCAGCCTAATGGCATTGCCCATAAGGAGTGCATCTTCCTGAATTTAGAAACTTGGAAAATGCTCTGCTTAGGAGGAGGAGGGAACGCTAACCAAAATAACTGAGAGTGAACCGAGTAATCAGCTATCAGTTGCCGTTAAAGGGGAAGACTGTCTTAATGGAATTCCACTATTCTCTATTCTGGTTAAAACTCTGTATCTTATCCCACGACTGGTGTATTTTTTTTAATGTAAAATTAAAACTTTGCTCACAGATGATGATTGTTTCCTATGCTGGTATTCCCTGCTGTTCTATTTGCAGTTTTCCTTTAGTGTAGCACTGCCACACTCAGCAAGCATTTCTAGTGGAAACRTAAACCACCCCCTGCCAGTTGCCAAGTGAACATGTTTTATTCTGTGAACTCTGAGTGAATTTTTGACCAAAGGATCACACATAAATACTAATATAACGGATGTGTTAGTATTTAACTGCACAACCTTGCTGGAAACCTTGACTTATATATGGCACCTTTTGGGAGGGAGGAATATTTGCTGGAGTAGTTGTTCATCAGTTTTAAGATCGAGTTGAAAGCATGATGCCTTTTGATGTAGGTACAGAGCAATGTCAGTAGCTTTGTGATCTTTAAAGAGAAAGAAAAAAGTCATGTCCCTCATCCTTCCCTTTTATTTTCTTTCTCAAGTGCAGGTGGAGTCTATCTCCTGAATAGATATCATTACAGGTACTCAGGAAAAAAACATGGAGGATAAAGGAAAGAGCAATAGAGTGGGAGAAATGACAGCACTTTCTGGGGCAGAGGAAGAGGAAGCTGCAGTACACTGCAGCACATGTTAAATTAAGGTGGCCCATTCTTCCCATTCAAAATGGAGAATTATTATTCAGAATTGTCAGCTATTTAATTCATTCTTACAAAATAAGGAAAATGCTCTGCTTTGCTAACACAGCGTGCAGGGTTTCAGGATGTCTACAGAAGTTTTTTGATAGGATCTGGAATAAATTTGCACAGCTTTTATTTGATTTTAGCTGGCATACGCAGACGTAACAAATTAAGTAATCTATTGGCTCTAAAAAGTTTCYATCTCAGTGCTCAAGTACTGCTTTCATTAGACTTTGACGTATTTTTTTTTTAAAGCAAGAGTATATATGCATTAATACCCTTAGTTGGCTTTATAGCATTCTGATTTTTAACTAAATATCCAACTAGGTTCACATGCTGTAACTAGATTGTGAAATAGCTAAAACTGAGGAAGTATGTGCAGAGCCAATATTTGTGAAGAATCGCTGACATTTTTCATATATTGGTAGATGTTGTTCCACTCTAGAAATCTGTGATACTCTATTTGTACAGCGTTTAGATTCCTTCAGGAGAAAAGGCAGCCCTTTCAACTGATTTATGTCACAACATAATTATATGTGAAGAACAATGAAGATGGACCATCCAGTAAATCAAATCTCATAAAACTTTGATGGAAAGCAATAGCTAAGGAGTTCTTGTATGGGCAGTTAACTAAAATCTGCTACACAGTTCTCTGAATGGAAATTACTTTGAATAAAAAAATGTTTCTCTTCCTATTTATAAGACAGCATCATTCTGAAGCTAATCTTCTGTGATGATCAGAAAAAGAATTTGCTAACAAAAACACCTTGTCTAGTTGTATTTTAATTCTTAAAAGATTTTTCTAAGAGTTAGTGAAAGTTTATTGATAAAATGCAGTTCAGGAGTTGACTGCTGTCATATAAAGACCAAACCTAACAAAACGAATTGAAAACTAATGAAGTTAGCACCACTTTCTGTGGGTGGGGTTTTTTGTTTGTTTGTTGTTTTTGTTTTTGGTTTTTTTTGTTTGCTTTTCTCTTGGGAAAAATTGGAGAGGGCTTTAGTATAGAGTTAGGAATAGACCACAACTTGCCTGGATGATTTTTGACTTAGCCTTTGTAAGACAAAATGGGCAGAATTGTTTCTTCTGGAAGTACAAGCAGGATCACTCAGTTTCTGTAAGCAAAAGGAAAAAAAAAATCAATGTGAATTTCCTCTTCTTCCTTCACAGCAGCCCCAGTCTGTGTTTGCCATTCTGAACTATTTCTCAAGAGTTTGGCCTATAATTTTTGGTCTACAGGTTACTGGATATAATGATTTAATTTTGGTGCCAACAGGTTTTGGTGCTAGTAAATTAAGTAATTTAATTGTAATCTACTTAAGTATAACTTACTTTTAACAGTTTAAATAATTGGGACTTGTTTGTATAAGGTTAAAAGGTTTGGTTTTAGAGGTTTCAGAGCAGCACAGTGTGGCCTTTATGTTGGCTTTAAAACGCTACTGAATGGGTACCTTGGACCAATATTAGGCTGGAAATGCTGCTGTTGTCTGAACATGAGAAATGCCAGACCCTGGCAAGTCATCATCCCCTCACCACTCAGGACTAATAAAAACTCCAAAGGGCTTCAGAAACTTCTGAAATGATACAAAGCTGTTTACTGTAGTTTGTATAATATTTTGATTCCTATATGTGGAGGCAAAACCCAAGCAAATGTAGAGGAAAATTCTGGTAACTTGCAGTGAAGATGTTGATTTCTCAGTGGCCTTAAGGGAGTTGTGGGATAACAAAATATTGGTTATTTTTATAGTGTGTTATAAACTGCAGCTACAAGACAAAACAGTAACTTTGAACTAGTCTCCAGAGTTCTCCTCTGTGTAGACCTCAGGTTCTACTTATGATTCCTTGATCCTTTCAGAAGAAACATTTCACTTGAAGTGTCTAAATACTTCAGTTTTAAGTATGAAGCGGATTTGCAGTGCAAATAAAAAATGGAATTTATAATCTCACAGAGGTAAGAAAAGAAAATACAGAAAAAAAATGAAATATAGAGAAAATGGATCATACCTGTTAGTGCTAGTAAGTGYGTTGTAGGTGCTTAATATTTCAGATAATTTTTCATAAATAAACTTGCCCCTTCAAGCAACCTGGATTCATTCTTAGMGATGCTTTAGGCCCTTTAAGTCCCTTTCTAAGCCTTCTTTTATCTCAACAAAGTGATAAAACTTTTGGATCTTTGGGGGGGTTTCTCTTTTCTTTTTGTTGTGTTTTTCTTAGTCTCCTAAACAGTGACAGTAGTCATATTATGTCAGGGAAGTGACTTTGTTCAGTGTATTAGAACTTCTGAACCACTAACACAGCTGTGAATTTAATGCAAATGCTGATTATGCTCCTATAGAGGAATAAGTGAAATGCTGCAGTGCTTTAATGTTCAAGACAACTGCAGCAAATACCCCAAGATGATTACGTGTAATGACAATAGGTGCAATAACTGGTCCAACAAAGAAGGATCCCTTTTAAGTGGAAATTCAAGAAAAGCTTTGTAACAACCTCTTTTTTTTAAAAAAAAGCCTGTATTTTTATTATATATGTGAACTTTACTCAGTGAGGAAGATGGTAAAGTGCTGGATCAGGTACCCCCACCTTGAATTACTCAGACATGCAGATCAACTAAGTTGTTTTCCAACTTTCTTTAAAACTGGATATTTCAGTTCCCTGAATATTTTCAAGGTCTACAATGTCACTCCCTTCAAGGGTAACCAGATATATGTGGGCAACTCTCTCCAAGCAAACTAGAAACAATAAATGGAACTATATTATAGAGGATAAGGAGAGCACAACTTTTTGAACAACATCTGGGCAAATCAGCATGGAAAATGCATACACTAATTTTGAAAAGCATTTCACACCTACTGAGTTTCTCTGTGAGAATTTTTCTTCAAGAAACCATTGGACAGGCCTTTTAGCTGCACTGTGAGACTCATGATAAACTAAAATGTTGATGTGCAATAAGCAGAGATCCTGACCTGTAGTGGACTCTTCTTGTTAACTCAGAAATATCAATCTCAGGAGGTTTCCATTCAGGAGGTWTAAAACCCATCTTGTGCTATCCCAAAGAGCATTTTGAACCTGGGACTTTAAGCCATTATCTTACCATACCAAATAGTCATTTATGGTTTGGGAAGTAACCAAGAAAAATATTTGTAAAGCTCCATTAAAATGACTTTCGTTTTCACCAGCAATTATTACTCACCATTAAAGGGGATACAAGAGGGAGCTGCATTAGTCTGAATTTTCTTTTTCTTGCTTTATGTTGTCATCTCATTGTCCCTATGTCTTCCAGAAGTGTTGCATCTTTTTAATACTTTTATATGAATAGAATTTCCTTCACTTACAATCTGCAAGAGGAAACAAATAGTTCTGTAACTTTACAGCTTATTTTTAACTTGTTGCTGTAATACTACTGAAAAGGAAGAAGCTAGGGAAATGAGGATATACAGCAAATATTAATGATAGGTGTTGAACAGTGTTGTGTTGGTGTGTTTGAAAAAATTTGAAGTGCTGAGTAAAAACATCCCGGAGGCATATCTCATTACCACTGTTGCATTAATGTGCTTCTGAAATTGGAGATGCTGGAGAAACAGAGAAGTAACTAGACAAATCACATTAATTGGAGTATTCAGCTAATTAAATGMTTAGGTGGGAGGAAGGTTTCGTTTGCTCTTTGAGTACAGGATTATTGCTTAAAATTCGCTGAAATCAGGAAATATGTAGGTCTTTAAGAACTTAGAAGCAGCTTCATAATTTGCAGTGTATGAGCCCTTGACAAACTGCAGCTGTTGGAAGCAAACCTATTCTGGAACTGAAAAAAACAGTCACCAAAATTTTGTGTACATGTTGAATACTAAAATTTGTTTTAAAGACATGAAAACTATGTGCAGTCCTGAACTAGAACTGATGATTTTTCATTTTTTCCWTGAGTCTCAAGTGTTTTAGGGTCTTGCAGTTTTCTAAATGTTTTCCCTCTGGTTAACCATGAGAGGGGGACCAGGGCAAGTTAGATGTTTTCCTTTGCTTTGTGTTTGCAGAGTTGGAGCCCACTGTCTTCAACTTGTACTATCATGAGCACTTGCCGTGTTTATATTGTGGCCTGAGTAGCAATGAGGAATGTGGCTCAATGTTTTATATCAGATTTTAACACTAATCCTTGGAGGTACTAAACTGAAGCAATTGTGTTGTGCACTTGTAAGAGGTCATTGTAATTTCTTGCAACTGACTTGGATCATAAATTCTTATAAGCCAAGGACTATCTTCTSTTTGTGTAGTCTCCTGAAAAATGAAAGCCTCTAGGTACCACCCTTGTGCACACATGGTCATAGACTGAAGCTCAGAATAATTAAGGGTCAGAAGACCTGGAACTTAGCTCTAAGGAACTTACTCTGCTGAAGAAATAAATAGGGTAATTGGCAATGCCCACAAGAAGTGGGATGAATTCTTATCCTTATTTTGAATATGGGGAACCCAAGTGATATCCCCTCCCTCCCTCCCGCCCCCAACCCTGGTCGTTTCAGACATGGGTCCCAAATCGCTGTTTTCAAAACAATCTCAATATCATCCCTGCTCATACGAACACTTGTCAACTTTGCTTTTTTTCCTATTGTATGTCAAACTAAAGGTGTAAGTACAACTGCACTATTCCAGACCAGATTAATTTTAACACAATAGCCTCTGAAGATTGTTCTTTCGCTGGAAAGCGTCATATTGTTTATAAAATAAGTGACAGACAACTTAGTGTTGGATTGATTGTACTTGTAAAATTACTTAATAAATGCTTACCACATGTTCTCTTAAAATAGGTGGAGATGGCCCTCTTTATTTTTGGATCTTAAGGTTACCTGGTATTAATGTCAAGTTGAGAGTAGTTTCATCTTTTATCTCTTGCTAAAAGTCTGAAGTATTCCCTATTAAAATGCTTCAGCCTGCTAAAAGCTTCTTTCTGATTGAAGTTCAATTCCCTATTCTCTTCTATTTAGAAGAAAAAAATCTGATGTCTGGATAGTGCTTTGTTCACTAATGTAATAGCGTGATAGTGCAGTTTGTTTTATATGTCTGTCAAACAGTGGATTTAAAACTGTACTGTTGCCAGTATTTGAAAATAAATAACTCTTATTGTAGCTGGCTGTTAGAAAAAGGGAGTTAGTTGCAAATATTCTGAAGTTTCTGAAGGCCAAGTTTTGAGGAATGTGGATCCTTGCATGTATAGACTTTACAGCTGGCTTTCATATGGGATTATGCGAAGAAAAGAAACTGCCTCTTCGAAGAAATGGATTAATAAAAAAGAACATAACGCGTATAAAACAAGAAGCACAAAGAAGACACTTCCAGTTACATATGGGAAAAATGAAAGCCCTAATACATCTGAATCAGTGTAGGAAGTGCTTTTCTTTAGGGAGTGCGTTGCTCGTGTGGTTTGTRCTTCCAGAATCCAGTGTCGGGGTCAGGAAGGAGACTCAGCAGAGGGTTGCTGTCTTATGCAGATAGGATATTTGCAGTTAATGGYTCAGATACATCAAGAGTATGCTTCAATTCTTAGGAAGGTAACTTTGGAAGACAGTATTAGTGATATCTATGTGAGATYAACGTTATATTTAATGTAGTAGCTGTTTAGGAAGTAATTTTTAGGTGTAAGGGAAAAATGTAGTTTTCATTAGAAAATGCTGGCAGTTTCATGGCRACTTGTGTCAAAATGGTGTTATTAATTCATGTGAGTGTAGCATGCTTATTTTAGCACATTCTTGTAGCTTTTTTTATGTGAGTATACAGACTCAGCATTTTTTTCCTGTTGAAATTGTTTTGCTAGGAAAGTGTTAGGGTTATTCATTTTTCAGTATAGGAATTGCCATTTAAGAAACAGAATAATAAAATTAAATCACACTTAATCTTTCACTCTCATTTGTACCTAAGTACATATATCTGTCATGGAGTGACTCTCTCTTGTGTCAGATTTACATACAAAAGAGACCTTATTTGCCTACAGAGGTAGTTGTACACACCTTTTCCTGTGTATAAATGCCAGAGTTTGAAATACGGCTTGTGTTCAACTGGAAATCCAGAAGGTAAAGTTTGCAAGCGTAGTTTTGACATTAGTAGTTGCACTGTTCTCCATTTTATTCATTCGCTGAGCAAAGGACCCTTGCATGTCAAGGGTGATGGGCAGCACCCATGAAGAAAGAATTCTGTCTAAAAATAAGTGTCCCAGTCACATCCAGGGAAATTCTGTTAAGGAATGACTTTTTTTTCCAGAGATGCCTTCTTGCCCTGCCTCTGCTCTGCTGTTTTACCTCTCATAACAAATATTGTCGCCAGAATTGCTGTGTTTACATATTGGTTACTGGAGGTGTACAGAGGTTACTGGAGCTGTACAGAGGTGAAGAGTCAGACCAGAGTCTGAGTAAAGACTGTAGCCGAGTCAGGTGTTGCTTCTGTGGTTGTCTGAGGAGGAAGCAAGACCAAGGTGGACCTCTGCAGGTTCTGTTTCCCCATGGTGAAGTGCTGGGCAGCTGTTAGGGTAGCTGGTAACTCTGCCTTACAGTGGTGCAGCTGACTGTCCCCAGCCCCACTGTCACCTTCCATGCAGTGTGACACCACTGCAGGGCGTGACAGAGCTCGAGATGTGCTGCTAAAGCACTGAACAAATACTGAATGTTTTTCAGGTATAACTGCTGCTTTCTATAGTGAGAGTCCTGACAAGATAAGCTTTATTTTTTTCTGCTTTTTTGCTTTTTTTTTTTTCTCTCTATTCTAGCCTGTTCTTATCTTCCTTGTAGAGGTACTAGTTGCATCATTTAATGTTGTTTTACCTTTAGGCTAAGTGTTCCATTTTTATAACAAATCTAGTGGCAGTTTTGCTATTTGATTTGTTTTAAATATATCCTTGTTGCTCTCATTTGAACAGCMGTCCTGCCTGGAAAAGACAGTTGTTTTTTCAAGATATGACTGCACAAATGTGGCTCCCTGGTGGAGAAAAATCCAAGCATTTGTGTACTCTACCAAAAATCTGTGGAGAACCGAGAAAGCTGTTGGTGAGAGACACTCACTGGAGGGAGATGAACAGGCCTGGAAGTGTTTTTATAGTCCACACTGTAGACTTCCTGTTCAGCTGATGGAAAAGACTCATATGCAAGGCTGAACAAAAAACATTGATATTCTAAGATATGATTAACAAGTTAGATAACATTTGTTCATTCTTGATTCAAATCTGGTTCCACTTTTATTTTTCATCATTCTGATTTTTATTATAGACAGTCATTCTTTGATGTTGTGAGAATGGGTATATTTTTCTTCCTGTCATCAGTGAGTCAAAATTCTTGCAACTTCTGCTGTGGAAGGAGCTAATTTATCATATTTTGGCACCTATTATCCAGTAATTCGGCCTTGCTTTTTTTTTTCTTTCATTGTGTGGATTTACTAAGTGTTTTTGTTCTGTATTTCCTTTTTAATTCTGCATGAAGGGGAACTTGAATGTTCAGAGATTTCAGAGCTACGCAGAAATGTGTTGCTGTGAAAGATTTTTTATTTTTTTAAGAGATAGAAATGTGCTGACAAAAGAACAGCTGTTATTTTTTAAAATATCCAACAGTGCTCTCTACTGGAAGAGTGAAAGTCTAAGAATTATATTAACTGTAGGAGTAGTATTAGCTCACTGTTAAGGACAACTGTGTGTGGTGGCATTCTATTATATAACACAAAACCTTCCACAATGACTGTTTGCCTTCATCTCACAGCCTYACTGGATTCCTAAGATAAATTTATTTTTATGTGTATGTGAGAGCAAAGCAGGTACTCCAAAGGCCATGGTGAAATGGCCGTCTCCACGTTTCATTAGGATGATCAATTAATTCTTTACTTTAGATGTCCGGATGTAATCAACATCTCWTCTGTTAGGGATAATACCAACAAAAACTTTTATCCCTTTGAGTGTGTCATCAGAAGCCTCTCTTTGACAAACATATTGGTGGGGTTTTAGCTTAACTGTTGCAAGTAATGCCATAGTAATCGATTTCTTATATACAACAAAGTGGGATGACTGGGCAGMTGAAATAAAAAGGAGAATAGTTGAGAACAGGTGATGCAGCAAGTGATAAAAAGATGGAAATTATTTKTCATACTCTTTTGAATAGAGATAGCTATGTGAAGATTTGTTGTGTAATTAAAGCAACTATTTAAATACTTGTCTTTGGAGAATATTATTTGCAAATAGTGGGAAAACAAGTACTTAAGCTGCTTAGATCTTTCATTGTGTAACTCYTCATTTCTCACAAATTTCAACCTTTTCAGTTTCTTGGCAGTACAGAAGTGGAGCAGCCCAAAGGCACAGAGGTTGTAAGAGATGCTGTTAGAAAACTGAAGGTAAGGAAGCATTTGTAAATCTAATGAAATAGAACATATTTTTATCCTGTTACATGGATAACACACAAGGAAAAAAAGTGTTCTCTAGGAACCGTTGCATTAATCTCTTGACAGACATGTGGAGTCTTCTCTATTTTATATGTATTATCAGATGTGTTTTTTTGTGCAAATGTTTCATTGTACCTKATACATTTTGTATCAGAGAAATGTATTATATGCCTTAATGCTTAGTGCTTTTTCTCTAGAAATTTTAGGACCTTGTTAAGCCCAAACTAGGTAGCAACAGATTCTTTTAGCTGCCGTTTTCCCTTGGCTGTTGAACACCTCTGATTAGATTGCTGTAGTCCTAGGGCAGAACACTGATGGAACCCAGCCTTTCCTTGGCCTGGTAACTAGTGACTTGATTTTGCCTGACCTGGCTTTCCATGGGCTACAAATGCTTCCTGGGAAGGGTAATGTTTTTGTAAAATTTGGTGCCCTCACTGAGGACAAGCTGCTAGCACCAGAGCCTGGGAAAAGGAATGTTGCATGGAGGCTAGGCGGGCTACGAGAGCCCTGGGATGCTGGCTGTCCTGGACTGCTCTTCACCCCAAGCAGACTTGTCTGTTAGGCCTGYGATGCTGGAACAAGTGTCATTCATGCCCTAGCTGTGTTAATCGGTGTTATATCCTCACACATTGTTGCCATGGGAAAATAAGATTTAAAAACCTACACGAATGTATTTAGGGCACGGGGCATTACTGCCTTGCCCCCCAGGTATCAGCCAGTGCGCACAAAAGCAGTCTGTGCCAGTGGGTGCACGATGCCAAAGCTTCAGAAAATAGGGCCTTAACATCTGCTGTCGGGTTCTGTGCTGGTGGGCACTGAGAGACTTGGCAGGGAATGAAAAGCTATCCCAGTGAGAAGGCCAAAGGCAAACAGCAGAACTCAGGCTATACTTGGCTTTAGTCTATGCGCTAACGTGCTACTATGTTCTTATTTTGGCAAGGGTTATAAGTCATTTATTTCCACATACTGTTGTTATAAGTTTTCTTTTATCAAGGCATTATTTCATCAACACAGGTCAGAACAGACAGTTGACCTGTAGCTCTTTATTACTTCTAATCAGAAACTCACAGCTCAGACACTACTGAGAACTTTTTGCTTGCCAAAAGAATTAGTTTTTGTGCAAAATTGTTGCTCCCAACTTCATCAACTTATTTGTACCAGTAGATGGAGCTAATGTTCTACAGTAAGATCAAGTAACTTAGAAGAAGATAATTTTGTTAATTTTTCATACTTACTTTTTTATCCCACATACTAGTAGCATTTTTTTCTAAGCACATTGGCTCAGCTTCAATTAAAATACACAGTTTAAAGAGTCAAATTTATTTCAGAGGTCTGTCCATAGGGTTTTTATGCAGATAGTATTCTCAAATTTTTCAGATTTTTAATGCAAGATRAAGAAATAAACAAGAAAATGGGGCACAAGCATTTTAGTGTGCATTTTTATTTCTAATGTAAACTGTCATGTTGTTCTAGTAATTCTTTCCTTCCAATATTCCGATCAAGCTAATTTGTAGAATGAAAAAACAAAACACATACAGTAAGGGAGATGGCATCAAGGCAGTCCTAGACCATAGAGACATAGAAGCTGTCAAATCACATTGCATAAAATGAAGAGAGTGCTCCTCTTAATTGAGGGAGAATTTAATTCACTCTGAAGAAATTGACTCTGAAGAAATTAACTTAATTTACTCTGAAGAAATTAATTTCTTCAGAGGTTGTCATTTCATTAGATGCATATAACAAACATTCGAGATGGCATTGTAATATGACCTAAAAGATGCAGTCACTGCAGAAGAAACAATATCTAGAGTTTTTCTTCAACCATCTCCTTACAGTGTTCCAAGGGCAAAACACAGAGAAAGTGTTTTCCTACAGCCAGGTAGAAAACATGAGAATTAAGATGAAAATGTTAAAACTTGGGACAGAACATCTGTTTTATMTCCTAATGTGCTTCCTACTCTTGAATAGTTTTATTATTTTTTTGTGTTATAAATACTAGTTTCACTGTTTCATGGGGGACTGTATGAGGATCAAGATAGTTGCTTCAGTTAGAGGATAAAGATATTTGCTTCAGTTAATRTGTCATCTAACAAAAATATAAAAGCATTATTTATGAAGTGTGTGTGTGCATAAATCTGTGGGCTGCAGGCGCACTCTTGCTCAGCTACTGCAACTATGGCAGCCTCAAACATCTTCAAAGATCTTTTTGTGCACTGATAGGACTATTTTCTAACTGGAAGTCCCAAGTAAAAGAAAATAATTGAACCTGTATTCCCTGGCCTAAAGGTTAGTCTTTATTCTCTTGCTAAAGGTTAGCAATCAAAATCAGAAAAGTTTAGTACCCACATCATGGAAACCTGTTCCTTTCAGTTTCAAGTTAGCTTAATTTTTTAAATCATACAATGAAAAATAATTATTAAACCACATAATTTTAATTTGCATCATTTTATCTTTTGGTGTAACTTTTAAATACTCTTTTTTCTATTTCTTTGAATAAATCTCTTGGTTGATTTTAGAACTTGTATCTTTTTTTCCCCCTTATGAAATCTTAACTGATTCATCATTTGGTTGTGGCTTACTAATGCTTGGTGCATAAGTACTGCAATATTTCCAATGAGAACGTGAAAGCATGTTGTCTCAGCTACTGTAACAAACTACAGACCATATGGTATTTTCTTTCTTTTTTTTTGGTTTGTTTTTAAACTAAATGAAATCATAGAAAATAGATTTATTTGCATGTATTGGTTCCCYTAGAATATTTGGGCAAAATACAATTTCTTGTAGAGCAATCAAATAAAAGTTAATTCATACCAGTGAGCTGCTAGTGTTACTGGGCCAAATCTGGGTGTCTTGCCTGAGAACAGTGTGTATGTTATAAACTAACAGTTTAAGAATTTGGCCCACTGTGTCTCTTCCCATGCCATAGTGTGATTCATTACAATTTTATATCCACGTCTATTATTCCTGCATATCTTAGATCCAAGGATCAAATGTCTCTCCAAGTTCTCAGTATTCCTCCTCATTGTCCATTTTGATGCCAATGGGAGGCTACAGATTTTTACCCTCTTAAATAATGTTGTGGGTGGACTACAAATATTATTTTGTTTGACATGCATGCTAAAATAAAATAACTTTTTTGAATTTTTTTTTAGTCTAAATTCTCCAGAGATCCCTCAGTTATTTTCAGGTGGAAGGAATGTGTAGCAGTAACAGGCAGAGTAAGGGTTAGGGTCTGCTGTACAAACCTAGACAAGTTAGGGAGRTTTTGATCTTCTATAGAAGGCCAGATATGAGATTACTGTTTTGTTTCAGTTCTTACCCAGAACACAGGTTTCACTGAGCAAATCTTTTCAAACTGGAATTCATTTACAAACCAAACCCAAGAGAAAAACTGCGCAAATYTTGAGTTTGTTCGAATTTATTGGCATTTACCTTTCAGTCACTGCATCTCACTAAACATTTGATTTTAATGCTTATTTCTCTCTTTCTGTTTGTCTGTACTTGAGAGAGGCTTTCAAGAATCTTTTTCCCCATCATGAACTAGAGTTTCATTAGTTGCACTTGCCGAGCTAATGGAACTTCTTATGAAGTGGCTTGCCAGTCCTTTACCAGCTCTTGCAAATTTCTCCAATTTGTCAGCATCCTTCTGCATTTCAACATCTCAGAACATGAAGTTTCAGTGTGGTCTCACCAGCAACTGTATTCCCTGTAGTCATCTTTCTTTTTAAAATATCCAAGGATATTGCRTTAGTTTTCCTATCAGAGTGTCATGGTTAAAAGCCTGCCATGACACCCATAATTCCAGCTTCGTAGAGTAGTCTCCCTGGAAGGAAGCTTTGTTCCCAGATGCGTGATTTAGAGAGGCTGATATTGCAACAGAGATGGTTTGTTTGCATACAAGCAGTCTGTTGTATTCTGGTTTGCTGGCATGATCTTTGTTTGCTGCTTTAGCAGCCTGTATTGTCTGTAAGCTGTTCTCTGTAATGGTTTCAGATTTTACTACAAATCATTAGTTACTTTTCTTTTTCTGAAATTTTATTGTTTTAGCCCACAGATTTTATTAGGAACTTTTTTCTCATGGCCATTGTTCTATGTCATGCTTGAGAAATAAACTCTGCTGGAATAAATTAGAAACATATCTTCCCAATGACAGCTTCCTGTTTATAACTGCATCTGGAGAGTAATGCAACTAACTTAACTAATACTTTCTTTATATTGCTTCATTTCCTAAATATAATGGCACGCAATACACAGTTAAATGCCACATGTACTGTGATAGGCTGCGTTTTTCATAAAAATATGTATTGATTGTCATTAATTTCATGTTACTTGAATTTGCTRCTTCTTGGATTTTGCTTGTGGTGTTAGAGGGTGGAAGTGTGATGAGATCCTTTTTAGTAGGTTCGTGCCTGTGCGTGTGTTTTTTTAGTATTGGCACAGATTTTTTTTTTGCTGTAACTTCCTTAGTGTTATAAGACTTGACTACTTGGAGCAAGCTTGCTCCAGCTGTTCTAAACTTCTTGCAGACCTAGTTATTTAAAAATATCTTCAGTGTTGTAGCTGTTGTTCAAGTCCCTGATGTGTTGGTTACAGCTGGAATACCAAGCATTCCATCATTATTTCTCCTCCACAGTTCTCCTCTTCAGATATTCTACTGTATAGAAATACCTTGTACACATTTCTCTTCCAAAGGGGCGTCCTAAGGAGTTAAGAGCAAGATGTGTCAAATGTAGCAGCTAGAAAACAGGGTAGAAAAGGATGGGAGGTTTAAGTGGGACAGGTGAGATGATCCAGTCATAAAATGTCTATCCRTTATTTAGTGAACTGTCAACAAAACAACCAAGTAATTAAACGAAGATGATAGGTGTTGATCTGCTGTCTCCTAGAAATATGATGCAAGAATTATGATTAAGGGCAAAAATATTAGATAAATGTATCAAGATCTAGCCAAATAATTTWAAAATATTTTTTAAGGACAGGAATATTTTGTAGTACGCAGTAAGAAACTGTGTTTGCCTCTTCAGTATGTTTTGGAGTTGTTGGTATGGTTTATTAAAGCAATTTGAAGGAAGAAGGAAGCAACTTATGTTTGGAACACTTAAGAGGAAATAATTACTGAAAAATAAAGAAAACTGATAGTAATGTGATTTCTGCTTTGCTTTTCATTTCATTGAATAGTTTGCAAGACATATCAAGAAATCTGAAGGCCAGAAAACTCCTAAAGTTGAATTACAAATCTCAATTTATGGTGTAAAAATTCTAGACCCCAAAACAAAGGTAAGAAATTTGTGTTTGTGTTCTTAAACCACAATTAAAACTCTTTTAACTAAGTTTTTGTCATTTGCTATTTTTAACAAACTTTGCAGTAAAAACTGTTTTGCTGACGGAAACTTGTAAATGCCATTTCATGTTACAACATGTGGGTCATATCTTATTAAGAAGATTAAATGCAACTATTAAATGGATTAGACTAAAGCTAATAGTTTTTTTATCTTTATTTTTTAATCCTTCACACCACTGTTAAATAAGGAAAAGGAAAATGCTGTGGTAACTGCATGCTGTTATGTATGGCACCTTTCCATATGGTCACCATGGTGTTGGTGCCCCCATGAAGACGTTTTCAGTGAACAAGGAGAAAACTCATTTGCAGTGACTCATTACTTGTGCTGCGGGTTTGGAATTGCCTCCCCCTTTCATTACTTTTTTTTAGCATTACGGTTTTTGAATTTGATTACTGTATCCACTCTGCCTTAGAAAGCTCGTGTTTTCCTGCTGTGTTACTCATTTATATGTAAAATTCATTTATAGACACATGCCATACATAGCATCCCTTGGTTGGTTTTCTGTTCAGTATTTTAGAAGGTGTTAAATGTAAAGCAAGCCATCCTCCTGGGATAAAAAGCTAAAGTTAAACTTCCTCACTCTTGCTGTGGAAAAAGAAGGGCAGAAATTTCTGGGCAATAAGAACAATCTAACCTCTCAGCAATGCTGTTATTACTATTACATTACTATGTAGACTGTGATCAAGTGCAAACAATCTTTTTATCTGCCTTTTTTCAAGTTGCATGTAAAATTAAATTTGAATTAAGTTTTGATTTCATATACAGTAAAAGTGGATTTTTAAAATGTATGCATTCTGAGAACATAGTGAGTACTTTTCCTATAAGTGGCTATTCTGGAATCGGCCAAGAATCCAGTTGCTCTGTTTTAGTATCAAGTGACCATAACGTAAGCTATGGGCAGTGATGAAAACTTTAAAGATCCTTTAGGAAATGTCTTAAATTCTTTGTTGCTCTCACAGGTTTTTTTMTCTTATGTATTTTGTTTCCATGACTGTTGTTGTGGTAAGAGCAGGAAAATACTCAAGTATCAGGATTTCATTTCATACTGAACCCAGCAAAAGCAAGGATATAGGGAAATGGTTCTGTCTGTGAATGATGGATGTTGATCTCTAGACTTAGAGCAAGAAAAAATGTGTTATTAGCTGAAACTGTATTAAAGAGCTAATTAAGTGCAGGAGGGGGGGACTTTGGGCTSTAAATATTGAGAAATGGAACTGAGTGGCGGGGAAAGAAAGGGGGAAGAGATTGGCCACAGAGAAATATTTTGAAAAATGATTGTGTGTGGAGTAGATATGCCATTGAGATCATAGCAGACTGTAGCAATCCTAGATCCTGGAAACGTCTGCCATCCCGATGATGCACAGGAACATTTTTAATAGATAATAGCTCAAATTCAAACTGCATATTTTTCTTTAAATACTTTTTTCCTGTGTAATAAGCCAAATTAAATACCAAGAAGAGACTTGCTGAGTAAAAACAAGAAGTAGTTCAGATTATTCATTTCAGCTTGCTCAGCTGAAGAACAAGATGGTTGCAACATTTAAAAATATCTGGAGCATGTCGTTTAATGGAAAAGAAAATGTCTATGGTATCTCAAGTATGCAAACAAAAACCATAAAATGCTTATATTTGTTTTTAAAGAAATTACTTGTGTTATCTGATTTATTTCTTTGTTCTTCTATGTTTATATAGCAAAGTTGCTTTATTTCTGCTTCCTATATTTAAGGAAGAAAGGTAAGGCCTGATTTTGGTAGGACTGCAAACCCTAGGAGACTGAATGTGAAGATGGAATGTAGCTTGAAGATCCAAGTATTTTACACAATGAATCCTAAATAAATAGCACAGGGACCCAGAACAACAGTAAAAGTCTTTTTCTAAAACAGAAATGTCCAAATAAACCCTTCCAACTAAAAACTTCCTGTTTATATTCATTAAAAATGGGAATAGTGTTTTTAGTTTCTATTATATTTGTAAGTATGTTTGGGTTCTCTAGTGTATAGTGAAAGATACTAAGAAATGTTACTGCAATTTGTCCATTCTTTTGTATGTGGAAAAGAGATATATTCATTTTTATCTCAAGTATATGTAGTAATTCTTTAGCAATTAGTAATTTTTCTGTTTATTTGCAGGAAGTCCAGCACAATTGTCAACTCCATAGGATATCATTTTGTGCTGATGATAAAACTGACAAGAGAATATTTACATTCATTTGCAAAGATTCAGAATCAAATAAGCATTTGTGCTATGTATTTGACAGTGAAAAGTGTGTAAGTATGCAAGATACTCTAGAAGAATTTGAGTCTCTAGTATAGACTCGGATCTGCTTTCAAATAAAGGATGGATAATAAAATCAAATAGTCCTCCTACTGATGGGCATTGGTGTGACATGATCTTTCACGCTAATGTGGTGCACTGCAAATTAGATGTATTAATTAGCCTTTCCTGGACCGCAGTTCCTACTGCCCATACCGTAAGGCAACCCTCTGAATTACTCTTAGAGAACAGACAGTATCCCACCAAGCTTGAGATGTTTGCACAGCTGTTCGTAGAGATTGCTGCAACCCTGGGACTTGGTACTCTGGGAGGCTCTTCTGCTCCTGTCTCTGTCTCAGACACTCAGTTTCATGGGATTTTGTTGTTGTTTTTTTATTTCATATTTTTTTCTTAATTATAATGCTGCTCCTTTCTTCCTCCTTCCTTCCCTGCCACATGCATCAGGTTTTTTAATGTCTCTGTGTACTGCAGGAGAGTTAATTTCACCCACCACTGAAATGCACTCGTATCTGGTAGAACAGGGCAACTGAAATTCAGACAAGTGCTGTAGTAGAAGAAAATAATACTTGAATACAGGAAATGACAAAAGTCATATCTGGCTGAAACAGGGTTAGGAGTTCACTCTGGGAAATAAGGAACACTGAAAAAAGTGCATACTTACAAGTGTGCACATGTACTATATATCACTGCATACTAATTAATAGATTCTTAGATTACTTAATATATTTAATAGATTGAATGTTTCTCATGATTTTTATTGCTCACCCATGCTGACCCAATGCCAGCTTCAGTAAATATTGTTGAGAACRGTTGAATTATTGTAGTTTTAAATACTTGGGTAGATAAATTTTTCTACATTTTCATAAATGGTATGCTGTAAGAATGCTAAAAACAAGCACTGAAACCCCAATTTAAAACAAAACAGGCACAACTGAGCATCCCTTAAAATTGAAGCAATGGGTACAATTACAGAAAAGGCTGTAGCACATCAGAAGTTGTCGGGAGGTTTGCAGCAGCATGCTCTCTGTGTGCGTAGAAATGCGAGTCGTAATTGATACTAAGAATTAGCTAATGCTATTTTGCCTGTTTTCCACTCTTTGTGTAGAGGATTCTTCAGCTGCATTTAGTATATCGTATGTCAGGTTATTTTGTTCAAGTGTGATTACCATGCCCATTTGTAGTATTGACTTTAATGATGGATGATGTAACCTCTTTCAATGTGATACATCTTGTGAAATATTCTGTGATCTTTTGGAAAGAAAGTAATTACATACAGTATGCTTAATATGCTATTTTCAATCTCCTTTTTTTCCTTCATGTAAAGGCAGAAGAGATCACTTTAACAATTGGTCAAGCATTTGACTTGGCTTACAGGAAATTTCTGGAATCTGGAGGAAAAGATGTTGAGACAAGAAAACAAATTGCAGGTTTACAGAAAAGAGTAAGTTCTACATGATTTTTAAAGAAATAAATGTACTGTTGTATTTGTGTGCTCTTTGCAGCAGTTTAATTTTCAATGCTCTTCTCAAATTGCTAGCGATTTCAACAGATATTGACAATTGAAAAAAATAATACTATGAAAAAATTATATGTGCCTTTGTTCATCTTGCGTAATTACTAGAGAGAAAAGCAAGGCTGTATGAAAAGCTTGTTTTCATTACTTTGTGTAATTTAATAGGAACACCTAAATAGTTAATCAACACAGTTCATATAAAACTTATTCTTAAGGAACAGTTAGTAGCTACTATGAAAATGAATGAATATCCGAATAGCTGTTGAAATAACTACTTACTTTGTAGATTCAAGAGCTAGAAACTGAAAATGCAGAATTGAAAAATAAAGTTCAAGATTTGGAAAATCAGTTAAGAATAACACAAGTACATACATCTCCAGTAAGTACACGAATATAACTTTTATATTTGACATTACCAATGATCGTAAATTTAGAGTGTTATGATAATTGTTAGTATCCCAGTTCTTTCTAATGATTATAATTAACATACAGTGATCATGTGTCAGATGAACTGCAGTACTGAAGTAACAGTAAGATTGTGGCAAGCCAACAAAAACGCAAATTGCAGTCCTTCAAGAAACTGTGGTTTCCTAATCCTTTTGGTACTTGTTGGTACCTAGCAACAGTAAATACTCCCTTTTTAGAGAGAACTACACATATAAGCACAGGATCAAGAATTGTGTTTTGCATTTAAAGGATCTGAGTCAAGAACAGCTTTAGGACATTGGAATATTGAATTTTTAAGAACTTCTTGTCACAAGCATGTTGTTACTTACTCCTGCCATTTAACCTTTTAAGCTTTTATTTTCTGTAATATGTATCTACCTATTACGCTGTTATGTTATACAATCCCGCATCTAACTTAGTGAAAAATACTCTCAGGAATGAAATAGTATAATTGCAATCTCTCCTCACTTAAAATAATTCATTTTATGTATTATGAGGAATTTGTGTTCACATATAATTAATATATTACTTTTTAAGCCTTATAAATGTTAGAGTTATAAAAATCAACTCTCTCCTCTCTCAATTTTTGAGTTTCCTTATGCTTAGACTTAGAGTAAGAACTATCTGTTAGCCTGCTTAGTATCTAAACTTATTGGGACATATGATATATCTAGATAAATGATGAGTAAATATTGAGGAAGGTCTGTACCAACTGAGGAATCTCTGTCCTTGGAGTTATTCTAAACCTCRTTCTCTGTGGTCCTCAATAACCACTTCTAATAGGATCTGCTCTGAGCAGGAGACTAAACTAGATGATCCCCCAAGATCCTTTTCTACCTATATATGATTTTTTGAATTGTGCAGCCAATGATGAAAATAAATATTTTCAGGAATGTCTTTCTCAATTGACACATAGGAACATAATCTTAAGTTGCCATGTTCTATTAACTTATGGAAAAAATTATTGTAGATCTGTTTTAAATTGCATTTAAATCAGTTTTAATTATGTTAGCGTGAGTAAACATATGTAAGTCAACCAATTAGGTTGAGAAAGTAAGAGTAAGAGAGAAAGAGTAAGAGAGAAAGTAAGAGTAAGGCTTGAGAAAGTAAGAATAAGGTGGAAAAGCATCATTGTGAAATGGTTTTCAGTGAAGGGAAGAGGAAGCCTGCCTGTATTTAAGGTAGCTTGTTGGGCTTCCTAAATGCCCGGGCCTGTRTGATGGTGTTCATATGTGCAGCATATATGATTTGATGATACATATCTAAACATCCCATATTGAAAAAACATTTTTTCTTTTCCTGAAAATGAGACAAAGCTCAAATCTTCTGATTCCCAGATGATTTTCCAGTTAAYGGTGCTATATTATATATCTGGTTTGGATTTCATAGTCTCCCCTATTTCCATCTGAGAATATGCAAATGATTTCTCTAGGGTTTTTTTTGCTTTTGGTTTGTAAGCTGTCAAGATRGGCAATCAAARCTTKTATTGCAGTGTAGACTTCCATATCAAAAAGCAACAGTTTTGGAGGATATGTAAACTGTGGAGGTAAAAGTATAGTGTGCGTGTATATATAGTAAAATATTTTGCTCACTGCTTTTCCAAAAAGCCAAGAGTATCCTTCAGTTCTACACAGATGCAACTAGACTGTCATATCAAGTAAACTTTTCTGACTTTCCATTGTCATTTAAAATAGTCTTCATAAGTACCAAGATGCGTGTTATACTCATTTGCTRAAATTCATATTCAAGATCAAATGTAATATTTCTGTGAATTCAGACTTTGATCCTCATTTACTGCCCTAATTTTTAAAGATGTTTGGCCCAAATATACCGCTTTATGATTCTAAAGCACATAATTCAAGAAAATAATTCTCAAGAACAAATTCCTTATTAAAGGCTAGACTGCAATATTGGAAACTACTGTTGGAGATTTATCTCTCTAAAAGGCGATAGACAGTATTGAACTCTTTGGTAATGATGTGGAACATTTTATTGCGAAACATGGTTTTCAATACTGAGTTTTCAATYAAATTTTAATTTGTAGCTACCCCTCATCAGAATGTTCCCTAAGAAAACTAGATGGTGACACGTGCAAAATCCATTGAGAGYTCAAATAAGAGAAAAAAATGCAAGCTTTGTCAATTGTAAACTAATGTTTTATTTTAAAGAATTCAAAATAATTTGAATAGTTGACAGTTACCACTGACACAGCATCTTTTGACCTGGAACGTCCACCACCAGGTGTTTCAATTGCTTTTGTTTTTCTTAGGCAATGWTAGTAAAAGCAATCACTCTGTTATTAAAAAGGAGACAATATGCTCACATATGTAAACAGTAAGAAAGGGAATTTTACGTGAGCACCTTTGTTCTCTACAGTTCAAAAGCAGTATTAGTTTTCACATGTGTTTCCCAGACATTCCTATATGTAGTACAGAACCGATATCCTGATTATCCTTATCACACTGCTAATTTTTTTTGCAGATCATGTCATTATATTGAGGACTTGTTTTAAAATACTGGCAACCTGAAATGGGTATAAACTGTATGCATCAAAAATGTAATACCRCAACACTTAAAATTCCCATTCAATACCATTGGAATGATTTTAGAGGTTTTTGTAGTATTGCCCTTGCTCAGGACTTTTAGCTGTATATGAAMTTCATTGACCCCATAATACTAGCTCTGAATAAATAAGTCATTGGCTCTTCAATTTAACCTGAATAAGAACTGAGTAGAAACTAAGAATCAGTTATACTTTGTCCACATCTAACTTCMAAGGCTCCTGCACTTGGACTTTACAGTACTTAGAAATATGCTTGTTAATGCACTTTTTTTTCCTGAAGTGTAAACGGCTGCAAACTATTAAAAGCAGGGAGGCTTCTGCTTCTCAGGGGTGTTTTTGCTCTCACCACCAAAATGTTTCTGCGGTTATTCTAAATCTAGTCAAATGACCATGCTAACATCAACCTAATTTAATTGCTCTTTTTGTAAGTACATAAACTCTGTATGGAAGAAATAAAATTTCTTTCTGAATCTATAAAAGAAATCATTAAAACCAATGAGAACATAGTTGGAACCACAGGAAAGACAACTAGATTTTATAATCAAATGCTGTAGCATAAAATATATTGGCAAAGTTAGAATACCAAATTATATATCCTCCTTGCCTATTCTTTTCTGACAGGTTATTACAATTATTTAGGATTATGTTTATACAACATGTTCAGTAAATAATCAATTCCTTAGTGATGTTTTTGGGCATTATGCTTTAGTATTGCTAGTCTTGCTAAATTTGGTATAAATTGGCCACTAAATTATATATATTTGCCAGTGAAGAAGTCTTATGCAACAGAAACTGTTACCTTTTTATGATGTCTTCTAAATTTCTGAAGGGCAGGCTGTAGCAAAACATGGTTTCCTTAATTTTTTTTTGCCTCTATAGCTACACTTACATTTGGCATAGGAACTGTTGGCATGGGATATTTTTTGCTTTGTCTGTCACTCCTTTGGATGTGCAGTTAAAGTTTCTGTTACTTTTGTATCTTTGCTGTTTACTTTTCCTCTGTTTTAGTGGTTTGGCAATACATTAATCACTGGTCCGTCTTGCATTTGGTCTTCATTACATGGGGGCAATCTGATTTTCATTTCATTTTCTTGTAATGAATCTGTTGAAGTCTGTATCACAATAAAAGTTAGCATTCTGCCCTGTCTATAAAGGGAGCTGCAAAGTTCAGTGCATCTTTGGGAGCACTAGTCTACTTGACCTCTTTTTTCATGTTTTCTGTGACTTTGAGCATATTTTCACTCTTGGTCTTATTTAGAGTAYTGTAGACCAGGAGATCGGTCTTGTATAGAGATTCTAGCTGTACATACAGCCTTCATGTGGGTTACCAGTTGCATACACTCAGCACCATCAGTTTTTCTAGTAGAGTGAATTGTAAATCATTTATGGCCACTGATAAACCTCTAGTGAGAGGGGAGAGACTTTTATTTATCTATTTTAGAGATGGTTGAAGTTCCTTAAGCATTCCTTGAAAGCTTTCTCTTTGAGCAAGGTATTTAAGCAGGGAAACAGTTGTGACTACTGCATGAGTCCCCCTTCTGATAGGAGACTAAAAAAAAAAGGCAAAAGGAATATTCAGAAAAAGAATTTAACATGGGGGATGATGGAATTTTAAAGAAGCAGAAACCTAGCAGCAGGCAATARTAAAAGGTAGGGGGAAGTGGTTGGGAAAGACGAGCCCAAAAGGAACTGTGCTCCTCTCTGAACTGTTAAGAACAGCTGAAATCTCTGACGCTTTTCTTCTGCTTTGGTTGGAGAGTGGGAGGGTTTGCTTGCAAGTTGCTTTGAGATCTTCACACAGATCCTGAAGAAACAGATTATCTTGTCAAGTAGATGCATGTACTCACATAACTCTGTCTTTATTGTGTCAGTGTCAGCAAAAAATCCATTTTTAGCAGGCCTTGAACATGAAATATACTGGTTGATTAGATTTCTTAGTGATACACAGGTCACTTGTGCAAAAAAAAATGCTGATGTTAGGTTTCATGTTAACTGCAAATGAGTTGAAAAACTGCAAATGAGTTGAAGACTTTTTTAAATATAGTTGCTAATGCTTTTACAGTAGTTTATGAATTATTCACCTAATAACATGAGCAGTCCCAAATCTATTCTTTCCCAGCATGTGATAACACTTAATTGCAGTAAGATCCAGTCCTTTCAACTTATACCTTAACATCAGTATGTACAGCCAGATGAAGAGTCATTATCACATTGTTCTCCTGGGTTGTTGAAATGGGACCCCAATTGGAAAGTCATAATATCAATCTGATCAATGTTACATGCCTGAGCATTACAGAGTGGGAAGCTCGGAAGCTATAGTGCTACCATATAACATGGCGTTTGAATATGTTTTTACTATATTTACTCTGTTTACTCCCCAAAACTACTAAGTTTCAGAAGCTGCAATCGTGTAGAAAGCAYTAGATATGTTTTTCTGTAACAAAGGGAACTTTCATGATAATCAAAGAAACATGTAAGACTTTCTAAAATCCTCTTACCATATGTTTCTATTCAGTGAAAGGGAGGGGCTTTAGGATGCTGATTTTGATCTCTCCCTATACAGCACACTTTTACTGGCAACCTTACAAACCAGGAAATTGCTGGACTCCCTAGTAACTCTTTGCCTAACTGATAAGTCTTGTTTACAGATCAACTCTTTGAAGACCATGTAGGAATTTAAATGAAGAATAGACAGGCTTTTTTCAAAGAGCTTCTTAAATATACCTTGAAAAAGCATAAAGCAAAATGAAAGGTCACATTTTGTAGAGAAAGAGGCTGTTTTTCCTTTTGCATGTTCTGAATTTGTCATTTTCAGCTTTTTAAAGCCCTGTATCACCCATCACTTTAGCCTTCCATTTCTTGTTTTCCATTGCTACATGTGCTTTTCTACTGAACTTGTCCCATCAGTGGGCTCCTAGAAGGACATGGGAGAAATGCAGAGGAAATATTGGCAGAGCAGCAATCACAGAATGAGGTGGTGAGATTCCAAGGAGCAGTGCAACTTTCAATGGTTTCATGCTAGTGAAACTTAATGTATTTCCACAGTGGATATGTCAAGTGCTACATATTTTGTCTCATTGTTAGGGGAAGTCTTCTGTAGTTATAGCATAGTAACACTTGAAATTTAATTCAAAATGATTCAAATTTTATCTCCATTTTTACTGATTGCATACTTGACTGTAATTTCCATGTGCAAATATGAGATATTGCCAATATATTGGTAGATACGGACATTTGTTGATGCATCTGCCGCCTACGTCTTTGGGAAGATGTATGCCTCCCTTTTGCTTTGATGCAATCTAGGAGCAAATCTTCATTCCACTTAATGCTGGGCTACTTTTTATTGTGATACAGGTTTAGATTTTATTTTGAAAATGTTTTAGAGTTCTCTATCTTGTCACTATAGCACTAAAGGCCAAACAAGCTGTTTTGAAGCATGAAATGTATTTCTTCTTCTTTCCCTGTCATTACYATGTTCTGTTCCTCAGAATGTTTTCTCTTTCTGTAATTCCTTTTCAGCTGCTGCACGTAAAGTGTGATAATGATGAACATATGTTTCAAAGACCCTCCTCTGCTTTTTTCTGGTGTAACAAAGAGGATTCACCTCCTTGTTTAGATATGTCTTCCATTACCCTTACTCCTAGGAGTTCTCCTGACTCCCGACTACCATCTGGATTGTTAATACCACCACCCTCAAAAAGTGGTCTTCAAAAGCCAGCCAGTGAATGCAGCTATCCAAGACCTCGCGTAATCCTGCTATGCAAAAGCTTTTTTACTTTTTTTAGGCTTTCAGATGTTCTCTGTTCTTTATTAACTTGTATTTAAATTGTGCATTTTGGACAGTGATTAGAAGACAGATGAGATGTATCTTAGATTATCTTTTCATACRAGTACAGAATTTGTGAGGATTTATTTCTGCATAGCTTCTCCCCGACTCCAATCCAAAACTAAAATTCTTATTTTCCCAACTTATTCTTATTTAAAATTCTTATTTTAAAAGTAATCAGTGAATCCTTCCATGTTTTCTATCAATCCTTTGTTAAAATCATTATAGTAAGAATAGTTTCTCAAAGCAAACAATGTAAAGGTCTGATTTGAGTGTCTTTTTTCTTTTGAATCATAGAAAGTCAGCCATTAAATATCTTTTTAATATACCTTTTACCTATGCAAAATGAAGGTTGAAAATTATTCTTAAATATGAAATGGTCTTAAAAATGAATGGCCTACTTTTCATAGCAATATGCTATTACTCCCAACTATTCTTCTATTCAAGTAACATTTGACTGTATTTGGCAAATATCATGACTTTCTGCATGTATTCACTAATTAAAAGTGTATTATAGTCATATAGATTTAGAAATATATCATTTTTAGAATAAGTAAATTATGCTTCTACTGAAGCTCGTTGTAGCCATAGCATCAATATGTTCAGCAATCTCAACAGAATGACACATAAATGGAAAATGTCAGTGAAAAGTTTGTTTTGCCAAAAAGACTCATTTAAGACTAAACATAAATACTGTTTATATATCTAGTGTCTATGTAGCCATAAACACTCTAGGAAATGCAGGAAGCTCTATTAGCGTTTACTCTCCCCAAGTCGTTCTAGGATTATCTGTCACTGTCGATGGGAAGTGTAGGCAATACACAGCATGTACCCACTCTCATTGAACCTAGTCCCATATTCCAAATGCAGACAAAACCTTTCCACTCTTTTGCTTGTCTGAAGGATTTGGAGTTCACTAGGGGGTTTACTTTGAATCACAGCACRTACACTGGCCTGCTTTGAGTGGTGGCAGTTGACCTTCAGCACTCTCTTCCAACTTGAGTTGTGTTRACTCTGAGGTCAGTGCAAGTCCTAGGAGCATCGTACTAAAAACCTGTTGTGTCTAAATAGTGTTCACTGAAATCTTGCAACTGTTATGCCAACTCCTCTTGAATGAAGTAAAATTAGTCTTAGTTTGTAGTCTTAAATATATACATATATGTATATATTTCAGCCCTGACCTTGGAGGGAAGTAAATGGCTGAGAAAATTGCTTTTTGAAAAGATCAAAGTAAACAACAAACAAAATCTGGGTTGTTTCTGCTTGGTATTTCAGTGTACCCAGGTAGAAATATCACAAAAACAATGAACAGTTCTAGATCTGTACTAATCCACATTTCAAATTCAAAATTAAAAACACAAAGGAACATAAGGCTTCCTTGCCTAGTTTTCTCTAGGCACTGTGTTCAGTGGAAGACCACGATCCCTAACCTTTCTTTCTCTGCAGTCACTGTGAAATCCAGAGAGAGTTAGTTTAAGGCTACCTGAACTAAGGAACTTAGTTCAGAGTTCTTTACTGTGGAAGGATTGCTTCAGTAGCTGAAGCAGAGGACACTAAAGGAAGCAATATTCCAAAGTAAACTTTAGATGAACCTCTTAATGAAGCTCTCGTGGACCAGCAGTGATAAAAGTTTGCGGTTTGCCAGGCTGTGGCATGGAAGTATTCTGGAAGAAAAGAACCTGAGCAGTTTAACCTGCACTAACAACTTGTGCAAGGACTATGGTTAAACTGGATCTATTTTAAAAGTAGCAAATTGCCTCTATGCCTGACAGTGTGACCTGTCTGTTACCCAGCATGTAGTATTTCATTTTTCCAAATAACGTTAACATGCAAACTAGTTTTGCACACTTATTTTACCTTGAGCTTGTCAGTCTAAATTTTAATCTATTCTTTCATGTGTTTTTAGCATTTAGTTTGTTTTCACTTAACTGTGGCTTGTTTATGTCCTGAAGTAATAGATGGATGGCAGGAATGAGTCATTAAAAATAAATATGGCTGTAGAACCATAGGAATTGTTGAGTTGGAGGGGGGTGAGAGCAGGGATTGTTTATCTAGTATTTTTTGAAGCCTGCCAAAGAATCTCAGGCTTTACTAACAAAATCTGTTCTGCTCCATATTCAAGCTCAGAAAACTTTATTTTGATTTTTGCATTTGGTATATTGCATTTCTAGGTTGCTACTAAGTAAAAATGCATTTGAAACTTTGATCACAGCAGCATTTTTAGGTTGTCAAGTAATCACATAAAGAAGAATTAGTAAAAAGGAAATACTAGGAATGTATGTTCTAAGTTCAGCAATTGATTCTATGTATTCAGGGATATAAAAATATTGTTATTGCCTTAACTTAAATGGGTCTTGTGAAAAGTATCTCTATTCACACTTCTTGGTGGAATATASAACTGTTTGTCTCCCAGGCTTTTCAAGCTTAACTGATATACTTCTGACTGTATCAGATGTACCAAAAATGGAAAAACTTATAATATGGTTGGAGAGTTTTAGCATGTTTCATAGGCTCTGGACTGCAAATGCCATGTGCTTGTTGTTAGGAGCTGGTTTTGCATGCTGCTTTTTGTTATTTTTTTCAACTTTTTTGAAAATGTTGCATGCTGAGGAATTCAGTCTTGTGGTTTTTTCCTTTTATGTGAACTACTGCCCTAATACTTATTGTCCTTATTGTAGGCAGGCAGTGTGACACCTAAATCACCCTCCACTGACATCTTTGATATGGTTCCCTTTTCTCCCATATCCCCTCAGTCATCAACACCTACTCGCAATGGCACACAGCCTCCTCCAGTACCCAGTAGATCTACAGAGATCAGTAAGTTTTATAACAACTGACCTAATTTTTGCTGACACTATATTTTTAGTATTGGTCTGAAAAGAATTGCATACATTTTGCATGACAAGACAAATAAGTTTTTTGTAAATCACATTTGATAATGTCTTCTCCAAAGACTTGTAGCTGCCAAGTGACATTGTAAACAAATTTATATTGCTGAAATATTAACGGTTTAAGGAAGTTTGGGAATTATAACTTGGCTTTTCTTTTTGCAGTTTTTTGTAGTGAATTCAGGAAATAGTCTGACTCTATATTAGCTCTTTCCATATCAAGTCACAGTTCTAGCATCTATGTTTCTGCAAGAGTTCTAGCATCTATGTTTCTGCAAAAAGCAGTGGGTGGAGTAAGTATGGTGAAGATGATGCTGAAGAGAGAACTGAAGAAATCCTTGAAGAAGCCTGTTGGCGTAGTAATTTTAACATTATTTTTCCTATAATTTACAGCTTTGTTTTTCAGTCACAGTTGATGCAGCGCTGCAGCTTGTGGATTATTTCTAAAAGCCCTCTAGAAGATGTCTAAGAACAGCAAGCTTTTCCAATGCTTCAGGGTAGATGGGAAAAGGTTTTCACCTTCCCTAAACTTTTAAGGSTCTGTCGAAACGTGTGAATGGAGATGGTAACACACAAGCATTGTTATAGGCTGTTGAATTACGGGACAACTTTATTTTCTTTCAATTATACTAGCTGTTGTTCTGCCTCTGTTTCCATTGAAATCAGTGTTTAAATTCTTACGGACTCAACACTAGTCATAAAAATTCTACCTTTGGTTTTATATTTGTTTAATCAGTGAAGTTTGTGTTATAGATTATCATAGAAAATTGTGTATTTATTCAGTAATATAGGCTGATTAAGAAGAGTTACAGTTCTGCACTTTATTCATTTGCATTAGATTAAAATGATTTATTTCAMAGTATAGGCAATCAATGCCATCCTTGTCATCACTGCTCTTTCAGTCTGCCTTATGTTACTCTAAACATATGTGGAAAACTGATTCATCAACTATTAACACCCTTTGGTATATTCTAAAAATAGTTTAAAGTGAGATGAATATTGTGCAATCAGACAGGGACCTAGAGTCTTGAGTGAGACAGTTCAGATCCCGTGAATATTTCATTCAAGCTGTGTAGTGCTACCCTGTTTAAACAGTGTACAATAATATATTCTCTAGTTTGGCATTGTTGCTGACAGTGTACGGACAAGCTGGCATTTCTTTCTCCAATATGTGTCAAGTAGATGGCAACCAAGGGGAGCCAGAATTTGGAGTATCCTGGTTTTCTGAGTTTCTCGTTCATGTTCCTCTATCGGCCTTCTTTGCCATTGCAYTTAGCACTTGAAGGAGGGGTTTTCATCACTTAAAAAATAAATTAAAAAAAAAAAAAAATTAGAATCATCTTCATGTTTCTTAACTTGCTGTGTTAAATGTGCATATTTCCCTGGCTTATCCCAAGTATTTTTGGGTGCTTCTACTTAATGTAAATTTTATTTCACAATACAGCTGTTCTAAGACACTTGGGGGAAGCGCATATCAACATCACTCTGTACATGCATGGTAGCTAGTGTAAAGATTAGGTGCAAAATGAAGCAGAAAAGTCAAATGGYTGTAGAGTCTTATTTGATTCCTGCTAGCTTCAAGTTTATTATGGAGGGAAGACTGCTACTCTTTATTTTTTTGTTTTGTTTCTTCTCTATCACTCTGTCTTGAGTGTCAGATAGGTCACAAGAGCAGTAATTTATTCCTTGTTTATTTCTTTCTGTAGTTTGGGCTGTGGTTATGAAATATTAACAAGTCATGATTTCGGAATTTTTTTGGTCGCATTTTTCAAGTTGGGAATTTATTTGCATCCAGGAAGGCATCAAATTGGTCTGAGTGAGGAAGAGGAAGTCMTATATGTTGTTTGAAAAGATCACCTTCAAAGGCTTCCTGGTTGCTACATATTGGAGAAAAACCTGCTTGCCTATCTATAGATAATTTTGTTACTTTTAACAAAGCTCAATGCAAATTACCTAGCATGAAATCGAGTTACTGAAATCACTCACAAATTTTCTGTATCTGTTGAAGAAGGCACCCTCTGTACTAGGTGGTGACACTAGTAGATAAACCTTTGGAAATGCCTTRCAACATTGATAGCTTTTAAAACTAAATTTCAGTATTCATTTAGTTTTGACACCTTCATCAGCTTCTGTTTAAACCAGAAACACCATTGATGCTATTGGAAACATGTCGTGGAACTTCGTCCATCTGAGATTTTAGCAATGCAATCTCTTAGGTGTCTGTTGACTTTTTCAGCCTGTGCACTTAAATGGTAAAGAATTGTTATAGGGAAAGTTTCCAAAATAATATTTTGTAGAAACCCAGCTAGGAAATAACTATCAGTTTCAAATTTGATTGTCTACTGAGCTTGCTAGGCCAAGTCACTATCCTCAAAATATGCCTTGAATAACAATCTRATTGTCCTTCTGAAAACGGGTGAAATGGATGATTTCCTTCTATTAATGGATCCATGCTTAGTGGATTTCTAAAATGACCTTTAATGGTGGTCTACTSTTGTGTTCTTGATAAACTACTTCTTATCAGTTCCCCAGAATTCCTGTGAAAGGTAAGAGCATTAATGAAAACTAAATAWAGGCTTAAACAGAAGCTGATGGTGTCCTTGGAAATATATTTTAGTATTAACATTATGCTAATCTAGACCTGATTTTCAAATTCATGTTTGAGTTTTTTGKTTTTTTTAATTGTTAGCCTACTGCWTACTTAGGTGTGTTACTACTCAGCTTTAAGTAGCTGTCTCTTTTCATAAAGCTGTTGTCACAAACTGCATCTTTTCTCTCAGTGACTCACTGTTTTGTTATTCCAGAGAGAGACCTTTTTGGAGCAGAACCTTTTGACCCTTTTAGCTGTGGAGCAGGAGATTTCCCTCCAGACATTCAGTCCAAACTAGATGAGATGCAGGTAACTACGGAGTTATCAATTACATGGTTTTTCATTGCCACATAAATWTGCATGAAATATATATTTATAGTAGGTTAAAAATACTTTTGAGACTGCACACATAGGGTAAGAAGTATTCTTGACTTTGAATCGGAATTGGAATTTGTCCGCCTAGGGATCCTTAAAAATGTAAGTCCACGGTGTCAATACAGACACCTGAACCAGTTAAAGGTTTCTCAACAGCACAGTCAAAACAGAGGCTGCTGCCCCTGCTCAGGGCTGTGATTTGGAATAGAGAGCTGAAGCTCTAGACATGCTGATCCTGGCCACCCTTTGATTCCAGCAGCCATCACCACCCTTACACCATGCTGTTTGCCTCGGGGGCAGGAGTCTRGTTTTCTGCAGTGCTGATGTAGGTAAAGTAGGAGAAGGAGCCATGGCAATTTTCTGCCTGTAAAAATAGCCTTGGTTGACTAGGGTACTGGGATGCTCAAACTAATGAGAATATTTTTCAATAAATATTTTTTGTGATAAAATGTTAATTCTGAAATTCTATTCAGTATGGTATCTAAATAGATGCAGACCTTACCTTAGTTAAGTTAAAATTTGAATTCTGTTTCTTTTCTTAAGTATAGTTTTAATTCCTCTTCTCTGGATTTTCATTCCCTTGATTAAGTATTCCCTGTACATACATGTTTTGATTTGCCAACTTTCTTATGTGTTTTCTATGCTAGTGTGCTAGTATACTTATATGACATAACCTTACGTTTTTACTGAAAATTCATTAGTGGGTCTTTGAGTAGGTAGAAAACTTGCTCAGGTATCATCCAGTTGAGGTTAAGATTAAGGCTGATTAGATGTGAAAAAAMCACTTCTGATTTTGACCAAAGCAAAAACTATGTACAATTCATTAACTATGACATCCTTCCATCACTTGGTGCATCGCCATTCGTAAATGTAGGTGCCAGGTATGTGTAAGTTATTTTTATAGGTGATGTTGGTATGAATCAGTGATGCATAATAGAAATTGAAACATGTTTTTACTAATATCTCTTTTATTTTCTTGTGCTTTCCTGGGGGCCTAGCGTCAGCGATGGTTGGTATATCATATTTTACTAATGGTATTTAAAGCACTTACAATTAAAATGTGAGTGTGTTCATGTCTGTGTGTATGTATGTGTACATATATGTATGTATTTTAAGATTTTTATTTTATTGGTGCAATTCTATAAGGAAATAACGTTAAGACCTACAATWTTCATGATAGGGAAAACCAATTCTGGTTTTCTTTAGGTATTTCTTTCAGCCCATAATATTAAACCTTAGTTTTCACTGATGTTTGTTTTTCATTTTCACTAGTGAAATATTAACATAGTTTTCATTATCAGATTATGTAAAATGGTCTTCATGAATAGGAATGTTCAGTTTTACATTTTAGAAGCCAAACCTTGGATGCATGAATTTCTGTGCTAGTATGTTCATATTTGTAAATCTGCTTTTGAATTAGAAAAAAATATTTTTTAAAATCTGAAAGATTAGTGAGCAGAAGGTAGCTATTGTAGAGTGAGACACGGCCTAAAAGGAGATGGATGAAATGAACACTAGAAAAAATAATGCCACAACTGCTGTGTGCTCAGAGAAATATAGCAGTAAGGATCATTAAAGGAACCCCTGATCATCTTCCATGCTTGGATATGTGCTCAAATAGAAAGTTAAGAGGTAGGAAGTCTTTATATTGAAAGTTAAGTCTGAGTAGTAGTGAATAGGTATTTGATTCAATATAGGAAGGCGAGCTGTTTGCTCGCCCACCTGACAGTTCGGGTGGTCAGTGTATTCTGAGAGCGCGTCGTTAAATACAGCGCGTCGTGCGCTCGTGGAGTGGCCAGCAAGCTGCCTGGGCGGCAGCCAGGGACGGCCTGGCCGCAGCGGCTCCGGTCTAAGGTTTAGCCCCTTTCTAATGTGGAGCTGTGTAACCTCAGCAACATCTGCCAATATGAAATGGAAAGAGCTGCCTCRAGGTGTGTGTCAGGTGGGAGATGCATGAGCAAGATGGAATAGGAAAGCAGACCAAAGGGGAGAAGACCCTTCAGGTAGCAGATGCTTTTCATTTGCATCTAATACTCCAAACCTAATGAGAGTCAGTGAAGTTTCTTGACCACTGGTGACATATTTTCATAGTTAAACTATAATGATGGTCCGGGTTTCACATGGTTTTTCTACTCCCTTTCTCAATATAAGCTCTTAACTTTTTTGGAGAGCTCAAAGATTAAAACTCAAACATATGCTGAGATCGGAACTTAACAGCTCAAACCTCTCTGACTATCCAGTCTCCTGTTTCCCCTCATCCTAATGCTCAAACATATTTTCATCCTCTCAACTTTGACTTTATTCAAGCATTAATAAAATTAATGTGTCTATTTTCCCAGAAATCTCATAGAAAGGGGAAGTTTCCCTCCATCATGAGTCATACCGGCAACAGCTGCTATAATTTATAAAAACTTTCAGGTGGTTGATATCTTAAAGAGCTTAAAGATCTTCCAGGAGCTGCAAACCATTCTTCCTGCATGGCCTGAAGCAGTCAGCAGACTTCTGTTATGTAGCTCTGAAATAAGTTTTTCTCAGCCCTGTAGATGGTCTTCCCAGAGTCATATAAATTTATCCTCGGTTTCTTGGCTCCTAAAGTGCATTGAGCGCAGTCAGACTATGCAGTGATCAAGTGAGAGCCACAAGGATTGACTTTGGCAAATTTACCTTGTGATGGAGTAGAAGTACGTTGTGTTTTGTTGTTGAAGCCTTATTTCACAGTTAAAAACTGTGAAATTTTATTTCACAGTTAAAAACTCACATGCCTTGTTTATTGTGAAGTAACAAAAAATGGAGGTTCTTGGGGAGGATGTTTGGAAGTTATTTTTTTCTAGTGAAAAGGAGCTTTGCTCTCCCTTGTAGAGACTAACCCTGTGTCTTGCGCAGTACTGTCATGGAGTAACTAACATGTTCGGTACTTGTGTTAAATCACCTTGGAAGTAAAATGGTTGCTTCATGGTGTCTTTGTGGAGAGAAGGCACAATGTAGATCCTCACKCCTGAGCTATTCCTGTTCCCACTCTTGTCCGATGTCAGGGGTTGCTGCTTTTCTGCATTCCCTGGAAATCTGTAGATTTTAATTATTTTCTAAGTAAGGAGTTGCTGTTGCCTGAACCTTTGAAGGACTGGAGGCTGTGGCATGCATGTTGTTTTAATGAGCAGGGAATGTGTTATGCTAAGGATCATGTTACTGGAATGTGAAATTTTGTATTTCATAAGGCAAAATATTTAAAATACCATATATTAAAATGAATTTTACATGTACATGGTATTTATCCAGAACTAAAGCTGACTATATGTCATTTTGAAGAAAATATATTCTGCCTGTTAATATAGTTTAATAGAAAATAATAAAGCATAGCTGAGAATCTGTTTTCCTCCCCAGTCTTTCCAGCTGACATGGTTATTTTTACAGCTGTTAATGCTGGGTTTTGGTGTGCCGAGTTGAAAGCAGACATATGCTGTATCATGGGTGTCATAATAATCATACAGCACCTTAAGATAGCCACAAGAATTGAGAAAAGCATATAGTTTGGGTGTATGAAATGTGTTTCTGAAAGTAGACATAAATCTGTAATTGTTCTGCATTGCTGAAGAACCACAGTATAGGATAGTTCATGTGCATTAATCACAGACCAACTGCACTTCAGCATAAGAGATCCTTCCCTTAAAAACCAGCTTTTCTCATGGCTTGGTTGACTACGGCTGGTTGGATGTTTTTAGTGTATGGCGTGTTTGCCAAAGAATACTTTTGCAGATTCCAAAATTAAGAAGTCACTTTGCAAAACTTGTAGGATTGAGAATGGCGATTGCTATGGCCTGGGCTTTCTTGATCTGCAGGAATTTGATGGCAGTCATTTTGTCCAGGCTTTGACTGGACTGAAGATTTTCTGAATTGCTTAGCTTCTTGAGRAATACAGACCAGAACGCTGAATATGCCCTTGAGCTTTGGCAACTCCATGTCACCTGAGTAAGGAAAACTGGTTACCAGTGTGGTTAGGTAAGGCTTACAGTTCAGTAGCGTCTGGCTCATAATCTACTTGGGTAAATTTGCTTTTAGGAAAATCTAGACTCTGGAAAATCCTGGGCCATTTGGTAATCATCTCCAGGAGGTTTACTTCCCAGAATTATTCTCCTGATGGTCGTACTTGGTAGGATTATTAAACATTCATACACTTTTAGAATTCTAGCCTGTGATTTAAATTTGTTCAAAATGAAATTAGTTTGACTTGTGGTTTATCCTTTAAAGCTCTAATGTCTGCTTTTGAGTTGCTTCTAGAAGTTATGGGAAAAGACTTGAGTTTAATCCCAATTGAAATGGCTTTACAAGAGAATTTATTTTGTTTTACAAGATGTGTGCCTAAAAGCACACTTTTTGATTCTCATAGCACACAAGCAAGTACTCTAGGTAAACTGTGCAATAATGTGGTGTGTTTACCCAACCGGTGCCCCTGGAGTCAATGTTCTCTTGGCATTTCTGTGCAGAGCCCTTGTTTCCCATTGTGTATAGTTTTATAGTACTTTGACCTAAGAGACGGATTTTTTTCTTGACTCAAATGTGACTTTTTTTCTTTTGAGTGTCAAGCCATAATTATTCAACTACTTAAAAAGAATAGATGAAAACAAGAACCCTGTCTCTGTATTAAACTATTAAAAGATGTTATTTTGGAACTGGTGCAAAGCATATTTTTAAAGCAGAGCTACCTATAGAATAAAGTTATTTTGAACAGAGGGGTTGGCAGGTTGGCAGCCTTTCTCTTAGAAACATTAAAATGTTTCTACTAAGGAAACTAATGTGAGGAAATAGAGGAATTTTGGTCAGACCTTGTTGAAAATTTATTAGTACTTAATCACCATTGTATTTTCATGGAGTTAAGATCCTCAAAATTTGTACTAGGTGCATTTGCAGTGGAGCTGGTAGTATTTTTATTCACCTTTTAGCCAAGCTCAGATAATAGAGGCCATAGAACATACACCTGCCACATTAGCACAGTAAACAGCTCAGAACAAAGCTCTGAGGTTTTCTTTAGTGTTTAAGGCGTTGATATGATAGTTTGTGCATTGAGTTTTCTTGCTTATAATTTTTCAATCATTGAGTCTTATGCAAGACCAATGTGGTGCAATCAGGCTTGTTTGTTTTATGTATATGAATATTTAATATTTTCATTATTTTCTTCACTTTTATGTATATATCTTGTCATGCTAGGGTTACAATGTTTTATATGTTAATGCCTGGGACACATTAAATATCTGCTGACAATATAATATCTGTGATTCACTCTGAAGTATCATTATGAAAAGTCTCAGAATGCTGCTTGCCTGCCTAAAGATGAACTCATATATAGAAGCAACAATAATCCCCTAGAAATTGCTTTCTTCTTTACTAACTATGTCTTGTTTCATTGCAGGAGGGGTTCAAAATGGGATTAACCCTTGAAGGCACAGTGTTTTGTCTTGACCCACTAGACAGCAGGTGCTGATGGCAAGAAACTAAATATGAAATTCTTACTCGGTGTTTTTTAATTCCAAACAGATATTCACAAATACTATCTATGTGCCAAAAATATTTTTCAACATGTTAATTCCTGTAAGGTTTGCTTCTGTAAAATTTCAGTTTAGTTACAGTATTTCCCTGTACAAATGTAAAAAGTTGTATTGTTTATGAAATATGAATTAAATTAGTGTTGTGTTTGTTTCTTTGGCCTGGGAAAGTTTATTGGAAAGCTCATGCATACCTCTCTGTTAGCAGACAAGCAAGCACGATTTTTACTTAATATTTCACATAGTGGAGTTTTGAAATGAAGCTCTTAAGCCATTATTTAGTGTCCAACCAGTAATATTATTTATCTCATTTAAAAAAAAAAAAAAAGGAATTGCAATGAAAAAGTGCTAATCTGTGCTTAAAAGATTAATCTGTATTCCATGTATTACTGTATGGTTACTATGCAGCATATATGTTGTTATTAGTTCATTAAATTCAGAAGTTCTTTAGAACTGTTATTTGCATTTTAGAAACAAACATTGTTAGTCTGTTATTGACATTTAAATAATGTAGAAGGACTGTTAAATCGCAGAGTAGACGAAGTTGTTGCCAATGGTTTGATTTTATTTTTTGTTAAGCCATAAAGTGTATAATTTGTAATTCACTAGGTGTTAATCACAATTTAAAAATAATATCACAGAAGGATCAGAATATTTATGTAATTTTATGCATAAGCAGACACTATGTTTACTGGCATCACTCAAGTTACTTGCAACACCAGAGTGTCTACAGTCTAGGTCCATCGCGTAGTTTTTTCACTGCCTGCTAAACTGTTAAATGTTCTATAATTTTGAAGCTCATTGCAAGTATTCAGTGTGACTTAAGTTCTTGATATCCACTATAACTGATGATACAGAAATAATTGCACACCAAAACTTTCGGCTGTTTGTAAGGTTAATTCTAACTTGTCTATGCATACTCTTCACTAATCTTTACCATAAGCAATAAAGTGACATTTTACACTTACCCCAGAGAAGTATTATCATTAGCATTTTAATATCCAGTCTGTACATAAGTTAAATTCAGTTCTCTGGAAGCTCTGTTTTTAGATCTGGAAAAATAAAAATCACATTTTTTTTGGATATTTTGTTTCCTTTTGAAGAGAGGGGTTTTTTTTGTGACACTTCTAATCTTAGAGGCTATGGTTTACACATTAAAATGTATTTTGTAAATTTGTTGTTGCACGTATATGTTTATGCCTTGTTCAACAAAGCACTTCTGCATACAGCCTTCCCTGAAGTCCTGTGAAATGAATGGGATTACTCCTTCGCTTAAAGTTTGGCACATGCTCGAGTACCTTGCTGAATGTGGGCCTTAATGTTCTACGTTATGTTAGTCTTCCACTCTTTTATCCTTCGTTCTRCATTCATATAGAGTATTATATATATAAAAATATATATATATAAAATCACTAACAAATAGAGTAGTATATGTTTCATAAAGAAAAGTCTTTATAATTTTGTTTGTCATATAGTATTTTGGAATTTGTATAATGAGGATGTTTAGTAGCCATAGCAATGGCCTTTTTTTAACAAATAGAATTTGTATTTTTATTGTATTTTAAAAAGCTTTACATAATGAGCATATATTTAGTGGCCATTTATAATCAATGGTAACAATACTAAGATAATATTTGCACATTTTAAGAATACCTTTTCTTTACAGATTTTTATGATAGTTGACTGCAAATGGCATGGCTATATATTATGTAACTGATTGATCCATCCAGAAGTACTTAAATCAACACAACAGTGCATTTTTAATGGAAAGGTTAAGTGATTTGATTGGAAATTGTATTTCTATGTAATCTCAAATGTCTGTTTAATTTTGCCTAAAATAAATGTTTTTAAATAAATTGCATCCCAGAACATAATATTCATTTAGTAAAATGCCTAGTGGAAGAGCATGTGGGGCATTGCCTAAGTATTGAGAAGAACTTTAATATGAAAGCATCACAGAGATTTAATGCTGAAATACATCAAGATTATCTTATAAACTGGAAAAGCTCATCGCAACCAGTGTAAAGTATTGTTGGACGTTTTGTGTTGTTTAGCCTAGCTTGTAACTAGAAGAGAGACCTTGTTCCATATGTGGTAGGTAATACAAGTAAGCAAGAATATTTACGCCTGTCTTCACTTTTTCTGTCTTTCTGAATCTTTTGTTGGCTTAATAGAATTTTTAATTGCTTTATTATGCTTAGCTACTAAAAAAAAAAAAACTAGGATATATTTGAGAATTAAAGGAGACATTAAAGTCTTTCTGAATTGTAGAAAGCCAATGTAAACCTGACTTTTAAGTGGGACATGCTGCTGCATGTGGTGTTGATGCTTTGGATCTTAAAACAGTCTGGTGATTATTTTTATTGCGGGAGATCTGATCAAACAGCTACTCTACAGCCCATCTAACTTCCATTAGGAAATGGATGTTGGCAGTGCTAGCAGGAAATAGGTATGTAAAAGAATGTTAGTATTAAAAGTATGTATTTGAGAATAGCCCAAGGAGTCTAGGTGGTTACTCTTGCACTGAGTAATTAGGAGCTTTCCAATTGCTGAGAGCAGATTTTTGTTTGGAAACTGCCTGGTAACAAATTCCTAGTTGCTCAATTATCATTTAAAAACCATAGTCCACAGTGTGTTGAAGGGTCTGCTTGCCTTTTAGGAAGGGCAGGGACAGACAGGTCACACTGARAATTCCAAATGGTTCAGCTATGCTAAATGTGTGATCTCGGAGATTTCACTTAGCAGAAGCCTCCTGTTTTTACTGCCTGCTTTTTTTTTTTTAAAAAAAAAGAATACTTTGAGCTATGACCACTGTGATGTCTGTACTGACCATGCTGTGACCACCTCCATACCTCGCGTTCAGGGGGTGGACTTCAGGCCCGTTTGTCAGCTGAGTGGCTGCTGTGCTCATGTCTGTCCTCAAATCACATGAACACCTGCAAGTGAGAGTCCTTAATTTCTATTACTTTCCCTGTATGATGCAGGCTACTTTTTCTTATTACATAATGCATAAATGTATTTTTTAGCTTAATATTCTTAAGAAAAGCTTATGTCTGGTTACTTTTTTTCTTGTTTTCCCTGTTTGGAGTCTTTCTTGGATGAATTACTGAGGATCATTACAGGATGTTGTCAGCTTAAGCCATTATCTTTACTTCAGATTGKTTTGTAAGTAGCTTTTGTTCATCTTTCTGTGTGGTGGATGTGGCTTGTGCTGGACATGTATACTTGAAGAGGTCATTCAAATTGGCAAWGATCAATTTTTCATGTGACAAGGATTTTTTTTGGCTTCATTTTTGGAAAGGAGGAAAGGGAAAAAAAAGTGCCTCAAGTTTTCTAACACTTCTAGAAGCAAGCATGATTATATAATCCCAGTGGTGATTGTCTTTGCCAAGAAATGGAGTTGGCTCTTGAGGCTTCATTATTATGATTATTTTTCAATTTGTTGAACTCGGCACCATCTCTTTCTCACGAAGAGACTCTACTTCACAAGAAGAGTCTCTCCTATAGTGGAAAAACATACCACTGTCTGAGAAACCTCTAGCTAAACTAGTGCAGAGTCGCTATTTTCATTATATCCTATCAATGACTAGATTGGCACCGTTTTAAGGTAACATGATGTGTAAATAACTACATCCCACCTCTCAACTTTAATTTGATAATTCAGGTATTTGTTGTTGTTTTTAGAACAACGGAATGCAGGCGTCATTCTTAAAAGTCTAACTGGTAATATGTTCTAAAATGCAGCTCAGTGTTTCCTCTRCAAGCTTTACCTAAAGACAACAAACTTTGGTAGATAGGCAATGACCTGCATTTTTCCCCCTTTAAGAAAAATGTTCCCTTTACTGAGAGTTTGTGACACGTGTTGCACTGTCAACTATGAAAAGTACATATATAGTAGTTCTCATCAAAATATATATTTATTTTCTATTACTTCAGCATGGTAGGCAACACTTTGTCAAAATGTAAAGTCTGTGAATACAGACCTCAGCCTTTCTGGACACTTTAGTGACTGTGCAWGGATTAAATTGGTCATTCATGTATTATCATCAAACCAGTGAATTTGAGGGACTTCACAAAGTGTGAGAGATGGGGTAGAGATTTCTGAGCTTATGAATATGCAATATACCTTTTGCATTTAAGAAATTTCTCGAGAATCCAATTTATATGTAAATAGTAAGTTCAGTCTCCAACAGTGAGTTTTGAAATAGATTGAACTCATTTTAAGGCTCATATGAATAGCAGTGAGAATCAGTTTGAGCTTYTACTGTCATTTTTTCACATTTTCCAAAATTTAATTCAAGAAAGCCTGGCCTTAATTAGGAATAGAAATGAAGTATAGAGGAAAGCTTAAAGGACTCCTTAGTGTCATCCTGTGCTAACATGCGACAAAGTAACATGCTGAATATTTTGTCAAACCTACTGACTTGATAGGATCTCTCTCATTCTGCCATGTCAGTTGTTACAGCTACCTCAAGTTCACACAAGGACTGCCAAGGAGCAGATCTGACTTATTTGCAGTCTGCAAGAACTGCTACTAGAGCTGTTYGAGCCTAACCATAAGCATGAATATTTTCTTACCACTTTTATCTTCCTTGTATAGAGCAGGTTACTCAGTGAGGCTCTTCGAAGATACATGCCTGTCACTAGCTCCTATTTCCATTCATTGATCCTAATTTCCAGCAGTTTGTACCATAATAAAGATCTGACCAGTATGTTCATCTGAGGAGGAATTCCAGAGGGGGAGTCTGTACTGAAAGAATACAAATATGTTCTAGCTAATTGCTTATTCTCGTTTTGAATGGAAAGTGTGTCAACRGGACTATATTTTAATTACAGAAAGTCCTTTCTAAATGCCCATTAACAGATTGTTAACACAAAACTTGAATCTCCTTAAGAATCAGAGCTTTTCAAAAACAGGAATCTGGAATACTCCCTTTCCACCTTCATCCTACACTCAAGCTCTTCTGACCAAAAAGCAGCTGTCAGAAAAATCACATATTTGTGAAACTGATTAGGGCTCTATTGCRGATGGTAAGATTTATTTCTCGCACGTTTGAATGTATTGTGTAAGCATTTCATTTTGTAAAAGCACCAGGTATTTTCTAAAGTTGCTGCGCAGAAACTAAAATGTACCTGTAAATCTGCTGTAATATTTTCTTCAGGAAAAATAGGAATTCAGAATTTGAAAGGCGTTCTGAAATAAGATTTGGAGAAAAGTGCTTTTAAATGCTTGAGATGAGATTGTCATGAAGATCATTTCTTTTTTAAGTGTTTCAAGGATACTGCTGTACTATAAAATCCCATTTTTCCATATTTATCCTTCTTAAACAACAGTAGAATAGCATTATGATTCATATACATAATTTACTTATTTTTTCTAGGCCTCTGCTGTAGTAGTAGACCAAAACTATGTGGACAGTTTCAACCACGGAGCAATAGGAACTAGAAGAGGTCTGAATCTCTGAGATAGTTCAGTTCTGTGAAATAATGATATTGACATATGTAACTTATGATAGAGGCTTCTGGGATCTAAAAATTTCTTAAATGGGGGGAGAGGAGAGAGCAGATAATACATTTTTCATGATTAAGATGACAGAGGCATGACTATTACATGAGAGATGATATCCAATAGAAAAACAAAGAAAAACAGATGAAGGTTTCTGAAAATGTTCTCTTGTATTGGTTGCTGTGTAGCAATGCTAGGATTGCCAAGTGGAGCAATATGCCTCCGGGAAGTGTTTAATGTTGGAGAGTTTTAATCTTGACTTTCCAAAGTGTGTGTCTATTTGCTAGCCTTAAGGTTTGGAGTCTACACTAAAGTCTATCCTACAATATACTTAAGGATTGTTAGCATGCATTTGTACATATTTTAATAGTATTTGTAKATTGTCATAATATTTGACTAGGCCGCAAAAAGTTCATACAAGCCTGTGCTGTATGATAACAAAGCTGGCTGATGTTGTAATAACATAATGAATTGATGTATAAAACTGTAGTGCAGTGACAAATGAGGTTCAGCAAATTTAATAGTCCTTAGAAAGTTTAATTATTTTCTAAAAGCAAAACAGTTTTACTTAAAGACTGATATATGTGATTAGAGACCTAAGTAAACCAAAAAATGCCACTTAGCAGTCCAATAAATAAGCCAGTAAGACCGCTAAAGCCTCATGAGTCATATAACCAAAGTGAATGTACTTGGGAAAACAGAGATTGTTTTCTCAGGACCACAGATTGAGTCTCTCGCAGACTTGAATACTGTAGGGAAAAAAAAAAATCTCCCACAAATGTCTTTTGACCCTGAACCACCATAGTGCTTTAGCTAAGTTTATGCTAAGGTTGAGCTAGAAACATGATCATCAAATGCAGGCTGCTTATTGAGACAGTTCATCAAGTTAGAAATAGCATTACTCAGTAAGTGCAGAAGATGATCAACTCTATTCTGGCTTTAGCAGTCCTATTTTTAAATATGCTTACAAGAAACATCTTGATGCTCAAGTGGTCCTAAATGGATTTTATAGTAGGCAAATGATGCTGGGAAATAGAGGAAGGTGGTGAAAATGCAAATACTAATGTGGGTTTGAGATTGGGAAATAAGATTATCAATAAAAAAAAAAAAAAAAAAACTTGATTTGT